TAATTCGATCTTCTCAACCTTCTGCTACCCGACACTCCACTTTCTATTGGTGTTACATACTACTTATATCTCTCGACATAAGTAGCACACATTACATTATTATTAACACAAATTTCCTATTCACGGAATCAAATTATTTATTTGTATTTACTTATTTAAACACATACCCATAAATAAATAGAAACACTTAAGTAAATATCTTCCATAAAAGAAGAAGAAAGGAGATTGTGGAGAGATAAAGGAAGGAAGGTGAGTATAATAGGGAAAACAAAATGAATAAAAGCAGTTGAATGAAAGTGGTGAATGGTGAGAGAAGTAATTCAGTTAAGAAAAAAGTACAACCAGAAAGAATGTTATCAGTTAAAGAAGTTTTTCTTACAACTATGATGAAAGTAGAAGAAAATTACACTTGGTTCGCTACACTGTCTTCTATTCTGAGTCATGTCTGAAAACGCCTGAATCGATTAGGTTACGTTATTTCTAAAACCTCAATCAAGAAGTTGTGAAGAACCAACAAATACGGGTTCTGTACAGCTGTCTTTTATACAGTGACCATTTTTCCACTTTTTCCACTCGATCTCAGTGTCTGAAAATAATGAACAATATGGAATTCATCGGGACGATATTTATAGGAAATGTTCAAATCATCAAAGTCAGTGTTAGAATATGATGACACTAATCGAATTAATGTCTCTGTACCCGAGCGCGTGGGTTACTGAACCTTCAGCATTTAAACATCTACTTAGATAGATGAACTTCTTGACTACTTCTAATTACCCACCATCAAGATTGATTGAAGGTACAGGGTTCTTACAGTCCTGTGAAAGTACCTTGAGCCTAGAAAGTGAAGATCAACTACTTGAGTGAGGAGATCGAAAGTGTAAAGAAAGCTTTATTGACCAAATCTGAATCAAAAATATGTATCCACCCATTCATAAATATATATCCTTCTTCCCGAGAAAATAAAACCACATTATCAATCAATGATTTGCCTTTCTTTTGAAAATGAAACCAAATTTTGTCCAATGGTATCCGCTTGTCTTTTAGCCTATATCTGACTGACCAAAGTTACCAAGTATACTTTAAAAAAAACACTAACCAATTCACTGTCATAGACATTAGAATATACATTCTGAAATGTAGATGTTTGTAGGAAGAGTCAATTTTACTAACCTCTTCCTTATCATGGTTAGTATGTCTACCAAGCTAAGTAAATTGGTTCTTCAAACTGGTCCTATTTCTACTTCTTATTCTATTTCTTTGAGTGTACCAATACACACGTAATATGTGAATTACATAAAGTAATGTAATAGACAAATTACATATTACTGAACTTATCTTTAGATTCTCATCCCACCTGAAAATACAAATCTTGATCATATCTTGATTGACTTTTCATTATTCCTAACGCAATTATTATAAATATAACACTATCTACCTTAAGAGATATTTTTGGGTACAAGAATTCTTGTCTATTTGTATTGTACTCCAAATTAGATTCTCATAGAATGAATAGAATAGTAACTCAACCTAATTGTATGTAACCAGAGCTTCTTGAATACCCTTCGCTTTTTTTAAGAATCAAGAATACTAGATATTATCTGATTAGTGAATTTAATAGTTGAATTCATGAGTTGATCTAAGCTAGATCACCATGGAAAACCTGAAAGCACTGAATGGCCGTTTCGTTCTAGTATTTGACTCCTCCATGACAGTGTGCATCCATGATCTCACATTCGAGATTCGAACCTATGACCTTCGGTCTCGTGTGCGAACCATTGACATCTAGACCACTAAGCCGACATCCAACGGTGTTCATATCTAACTTCAACCAATCTATGAAATTACACCACCATCTACCATTATCTTCAGTGAGTTACTGCTTCATAACATATGAAACAGCCATCCAGTGCTTCCAGGTTTTCCAAGGTGGTTTACCTTCAGTTAACTGGTGATCTCAACTATTGAAATTACTATATTATCGACAAAACCCTCTTCTGATGCTAATTTTCTTTTAGCCTGTCTAAAACGTTAAGAAATATACTTAATTTTGATTGGTTCAATTAACAAACTGATCAATAAAATTATTTTAAACAAACACACAAATTGTAAATCAATTGAGAACGTTTATATGATCGATCTAAAATATTGATCTTCATTTATCACTTTTTTATTGATCGATACTATTAATAGTTAAATGAAACAATTCATAAACTGTATCCATCTATTGTCAATCTAGTTTAAAAGAAACAATTTGGGTTTGAATCTCGCGGGGGGCGGGGTCGTGGATGCGCACTGTTGAGGAGTCCCATACTAGGACTAAACGGCCGTCCAGTGCTTCCAAGTTTTCCATGGTGGTCTAGTTTCAATTGACTAATGATTTCAACCAATGAAATTCGAAGAAAATAAGGAGAGATTATAATTTATGGACGAGCTTCTAGCGACGCTAAACTGACCTTAAAAATGTTTACCTACTTACTACGGTTAAATGAAAGTTATGAAGCAGTTTGAAGAATAAGGACTACAATTCACAATTGATGGTTAGGGCTAGGAATTAGGTTTAGGGTTTTCATTATGAACTGACATCAGCGATAATGCCAAGACGCTATTTAGCCGAATAGGTGAATGAATTTTGCATGAAAATCTAAGAGCTGTTATCGTAAATCTAATTGTTTCATTCATAAATTATAGTCTCGCCGAAAATTAGAACCTTTCACTTGATTGATGATTTGTAGTGAACGAGAGCACAAGCAGGGACAATCGAATGACAAAATTACAGAATCTCTTGATAAAATTTGAGACATCTACAGTAAATACTTCATTTGTAAAATGTCTATCAATTGTCTTAGACTTCACTATCCCTTTATTTTCATACCGATTACTTTCTGTTCCCGTTCTTTTCTCCTCGATCTTCTTGATCTACTGCTACCAGACAGTCTATTTCTGACTAGCGTTAGATACTATTTATGTTGATATAAGTAGTATACCCTACACATTCACACGTTAGTATGATATTTTCGGAACAAGTTGTAAACCATTCAAATTATACACATTCAGAGCATCTATCGATTAATTTAGCTTACGTGTAGTGATTATTTCAACTTAACATTCACCCATCATGTATACGTTTGGTAAAAATGATCATTGTAAAATGACAACAGCTTTGTTATCATATTCTTTTTATTCTACAACATAATAAAGAGTTTTGACAGGCTGTAATGTTTCAACTCATTAAAAATAAAAATAAACCAAACGCTTCAATTTAATTTCAAAGACTTCTAAACTAATATCAAGATTCTATCGTTTTTAATGTATTATCTTAATAGTTGAATGCATGAATTAATCTAAGTTAGATCATTATTAAAGAAGTGGAGTCATTGAATGGCTGTTTCGTCTTAGTATGGAACTCTTCAACAGTGTGCATTCATGATCGCTCATCTCACAAGATCGAAGGTTCTGGATTCGAATCGGTCGCGCAAGATCATGGATGCACACTGTTGTGATATCCTATACTAGGATGAAACGGCCATCCAGTAATTTCAAGTTTTCAATAATGATTTAATTTAGATTGACTCATGAATTCAACTCATAAAATGATTACAATCTCCACAAAACCCTTATTCTGATAATCACATATTATTCACTAGAAATGTCCGACTGTAGCTGCTACCTTGACGCGGTTGTCGGGTTTGCCTATCGTGATGAAGCAACCGAGCTATATTGACTGGAATATATATTCCTGTAGGTTCTACCATGCCAGGCAGGTCGATTGGAGAACGGTAAAACCGAAAGCAGCAACTCAAGGTCTGAGGGCGAAGTCGTACTGGTGACTGTAGAGGGGTCTGACAGCAGTAAGATGTTTCCCTCGGACAATCAGCATCTGCAGCGATGCTGTCTTCCCACAAGGAGGGGTGGGCTTAGAAAAGGTCGACGCTAAAAATGTCACACCTCACCTTACCTCACGGATTTCCGTCTCCGGCGGTAAGGCCCTTTAAAGAACGGAGCTAACACGTCGAAAACCTCCCACGAAAAGACTGTGCGCGACCGGCCTCAAGCAGTTGTCCCTTTGGCTCTACAATCACGCTCCCAGGTCGTTAAGGCCGACATTAATCCGACTTCTTTTTCAGGTTCCTCAAGAAATACCCTTCCACGGTGTGGGCAGCCGAGAAGTGACATCAGCCTTCATACCCGTAACAGCACATTTGTCCAATTTCAATCACATTGTAAACTCTTTAAACTTATTTTGTAAACAAATTTTGTCGGTCAATGGATGCAATAAATAGTGAACAATAGAAATGGATAAATGAATAGATAAATAAACAATTAACCTAGTCAATAGTATTAACCTTCTTATACATCAAAACATACATATAAAATGTATTTGATAAATAAACAACAAAGTCTTAATCTGATAAACAAAGTAAAAGTAAAACGTAAAAGAGAAAAACAACCATTTTGACAAATAAGTTTTCTTCTTTTTTTCTCTTCTATTTTATTTTCTTTCTTCATATACACTACCCTATCATATGACATTTCAGCTGATGATACTAATGTGATATAGTCACATGTCTGTTCGTATGTGTATGCATTGTAATTATTGTCAAGTGTTCATTAGTAACGTAATTGAAATTTTAAAGAAAAAAAAAGAAAAGAAAAAGCCACAACAATAATGATAATACTTTAGTCATAGTGATTATAAGACTTTGTTGCTAAGTAACAGTGAGTAGTTGTAACCTTATTGTATTGATTATATATATATATATATATAAAGTTAAAAATGTACCTTTTCATTACATATACATCACATATACACGCTCACACATGTTTACCAACTTTCATTGATATGTATATATAGAATAGTTAAGATTCTATTGTTGTTGTATCCACTTGACAACAACATCAATATCATTTGACTAATAAGAAAGGAAATAATTTTTATTGAATATTTCTTATTATATATAACCTATATTCATTGTAATTATTTTCTTATTGAATGTTATATGGGGTCAAAAATAATTGCATTGATTGTATGTTTACCATTATTACTATTATTTATTGCATTGGGATTTGCAATTTTCTATTGTCTACGTTCAAGAAAACGTGTTAGTAAGTTTACTATGATAATTTTATTCTTAACTTATTTTATTGCCATGTTGAATATATCAGTGACTGAATTCAAGATGAATAGTTTGTCAGTCAATCAGTCAGTCAGAATACAGTGGTCTTAAGAGGCATGAGGGCGGTGTAGACTACCTGGTTGGGATCCGCGAGATGATAGCAACTGATGGTTAGAGACCCTGAATGACATAGCTCAAAATCGTTTGCAATGGCACAGGTGCATCCACTCTCTCTGTTCTCTCAAATTCTAATCTTCTGAATTCTTCATGTCCCTTTACTTTTTCTCTTTCCAAATTTATTTCACTAGATTATACTCCTTGAATAACATCATCAAACCCTAATCATTCCGATTACGGCTTATACTGTTACTACCTCTACCATTGTGGGATTTGAATCGACAAATACATCTCTGTGCTAATGTGATACGGCAACTCGAACTGATGTACGTACGTACGGATGTGCGAAGTTCTTCTTTCTTACTTACTTACTGACTGACTCAACACTTGTAACTCATACTATAAAATAGCTAATCTAGGATTGTTGTCTCTATCGCAATCTCATTTTTGCTTAATATTCTTAATGTTATGAACTAGAAGTTAGTTGATACCAGTTGAGATGTAGCACTCAAAATCCCAATTAATAATTGTCTCTAGTCTAAGTGTACTGTCTCATCTAAAGACTAACATCCTAAGATTGGACCAATCACCCACGTTGACTAGGAACGAATAATTATGAGATCAAGCTGATATAATCTTAACTTCTATTATATGTAAAATAAGAGAATACAAGAGGTAAACTTCTATTATTGTTTTCGTCAAGGATTTATAGATCTATGTGTATTAATTATCAGACTGTAACATACTTGAAATTATAAATCATACTTTGCACACAATCAAGTTAATATGTGAAATAGAATAAAGAAAAATGTAAATCATTAACAATAATGAAGGAATAATGAGATATATAACAATAGTTAGTTGGTCCAAAAGGAAGCATACCATACAGAAAATAGAATCGACTAGTTGTTTAATAATAATAATATTCATACATTATTATAAGTTTTCTGATAATAATCATCATTTGCTCACTAGTGACTGGGATCAAGATGGATTTTCTGAAGTTGTTGTGATAAGTCGTGACTAGTGGAGTTCAACCGAGTCTGTAGTGAGATAATAACTCACTGAAGACAATGGTGAACAGTGGAAAAATTTCGTGGATATGTTGAAGTTAGACATGAACATCGTTGGATATCGGCCGGCTCAGTGGTCTAGTGGTTAAGAGCTCTTGCGAGATTGATAGTTCCTGGGTTCGAACTTCACGAGACGAGATCGTGGATGCTCACTGCCACGGATGAGTCCGAGACTAGGACGACACGGCCCATTCAGTGCTTCTAGGTTTTCCATGGTGGTCTAACTTCAATTGACTCATGAATTCAACTATGCAATTACTATAATATCCACAAAACCCCTCTCTGATTATAATAATTATATAATAAAATTATATACAATAATAATAATCCATGGAAATAAGTCTCGAAAGTTCCAACTGGTTTATTACCTTATTCTGCTGTTACAAAATTATCTAATCAAACACTCATATTTGAACAAAGAAATAATTCTCTTCAGCTTCTGAAGTTATATAGATATACGGCTGCACAGCTTGGTAATAAATTGGTTGAAAAGAGATCCTTTCGCTGAACTTCATACCTTTAAGTATGTATGATTGTTTGTAGGGATTTAACTGGTGAGAAGTGAATGAATTGATTATCCCCCATTGATATTCATTCAACAATTCCTTGTTATCAGTCTTACTTTTATGATAACTCTATTCATCACTTTAATACATTCATGACATTCAATACACGTCTAAAAGTAATTGACTTAAAGTTATAAACAGACCACTGTAGTATACGAGATCAAGTCTCTATCAAGTTATAAACGGAACTGCTTATAAGCACAGATGGATAGTGGTTAGCTGTGAAATCCAGGAAATATGTTTCATCCTATTTGAAACTTTCCAGCCGGACGTACCTGTATTACACAGTTGATGTTAACTTCAGGACTCGAACCCAATACTGTTCGCTTCAAACGCCATTGCGTTATCTACTTAACTGCTGAGTCCTGATAGCCACCTGCTTGTGCAATGGAGTGAAGTTATATTCACTTGATGTTGTTTACTTGTATCTTCTCATTGTTGTTTATAACTGCGACTGATCAGTCTCTTGTTGGCAGTCTGCACAGTATGCACATTTGCTAATAAAAGACTGATCAATTGAACTCCTAAATAACAATGGGAAGATACAAGTAAACAACATCAAGTGAATAGGAATACTTATTATTTCAAAAAGATAATAGTCAATTAGTAGTCTACTTGAAAGACTTAGTCAGGTCTTTGGATATTTTTTTCTAAAAAATTCTGGATCGTGGATGCACACTGATGAGGAGTCCCATACTAGTATAAAACAACTGTCCAGTGCTTCCAGGTTATCCATGGTAGACTTATGAATTCAACTATTAAATTACAACAAATTCGGTTCATTTTGTAAATGTAGGAATTATTATTTCATTTTAGAATTTTTAACAGTTGAATTCACAAGTCGATTGAATCTAGACTACTATTGAAAACCTAGAAGCATTAGATGACCGTTTTATCCGTGTATAAGATTCCTCAGTTGTGCGCATCTACAATTCTGCAAGCGGGACTAGAACTCAGAATTCTACAATAAACGCCTGTAAAGATTAAAGGCAAGATTATAACTAGAACTAAATGCTCATTTTAGCTACTGATGTTAATGTTTACCACAGATATCCATAATAATAGAGATACCTTACACATCATTTTTAAATATTCAATCAATCAATAAATTCAAATCAATGAAACTAGTCGTTAATCAATAATCTAATGTGTGCTTACAGTTTATAAAATCAATAAATTACTTTATTTAAATGAAAAAATAGAATTATCAGTATAGAGTTGTGGAAATTATTGATTTTTGGATGAGATTGTGAATCGATCAATGTTAGATCACTGTTGAAAACCTGGAAGCACTAGATGGCCGTCTCTTCCTAATACGGAACTCCTTAGCAGTGGAGTTCAATCAGTGTCAGGTAGATTTAGGTACTTGCCTCAGACAATGGATGAATGATTGCGCAAACATTCATGGATTTATGGGAGTTAAACATTAAAACCGTTGGGTGTCGGCTCACTGGTTCACAGGTTAAGCGTTCGCGCACGGAACCGAATATCCTGGGATCGAATCCCAGGTTTAGGATCGCGGATGAGTGCTATTGAGAAGTTCCATACTAAGACGAAATAACCATCTAGTGCTTTCAGGTTTTCAATGACGATCTAGCTTACATCGATTCATGAATTCAACTACGAAATCTATTTTGACAAATAGTTTTCACTTTGTAAAAATCGATTGGAAAATCAATAAATTTCTTTCTGCAAAGGTTAATTAAATGTAAATTAATAAATGTGCTTTTAAATTAAGAATTAATTTATTCTCATTTACCTGATTATCATTAAAAAAAGATCAAACGGAAGGTATTCCGAATTGGAATTAATAGAAATAGAAATATACATAAGACAATTAGACTAATACAGTAACAACGGTATAGTATAGTATATATGATGATCACTAGAGACTAGTTAATGCTTAGATGGTGGTTGGAGGTAGTCGACAGGAAACCCTGGACCCAATTTTCGTGCTACTTGGCACTCGTCAGCAAGGTGTACCTGTAATCTTGAGGGATTTGGTGCTCCCTGACGGATCCGATCCCGTGTCACCCAACTTCACAGTCAGAGACGTTACCACTGAGCTATCCGGGCCACGACTGACCTCCTGTAGGACTGAGATGTGATCACAATTGATTGATCACTGGATGGTGATCAATGTCATGTCGTCAGGGAGCACTAGTTCCCTCAAGATTAGAGCTACACCTTGCTGACGAGCACCAAGTAGCATGAAACCCGGATCCAGGATTTCCTGTCGACTACCTCCAACCACCATCTAATCTCAATATATAGTGCACGCAGTGTTGAGTCATCTAGACTGGTGGCCACATTGCAACATGGTCGATAGCGTTCGATCTGCACTAAATAAGGACTTGCCACACATAACATTGATCACCACCCAGTGATCAATCAATTGTGACTAGTTAATGCTGATATATATTCACTTCAATTTAAAAAGATGTCGATTATTATTTATTGAATGAACATTGAACTTAGGTTATACAATCAATTGCATAACTTTATGATACATTATTCAAATCTACTGAGACGTAACAATGTGGACTAGTGTATGCTTATTTTATGGTCAAATGATTAGGTATTCATATGAAGGTCCTGATTTCGGTCCCCTGTAATGGGGTTATGGATGTATATTGCTGTTGAACAATCCCATACTAGAACAAATAATTGTGCTGATACTTCCTAGTTTTTAACGGTTGTCTAACCAAGATTATTTCGTGACGTAAACTATGAAACATAACAATCTCTATAAATTCTGTGCACTTACTTGCTTAATTACACCTGTTACTCCGAATGAAGCATAGGCCGCCGACCAGTATTCTCCAACCCACTCTGTCCTGAGTCTTCCTTTTTAGTTTTATCCTATTTTTGTTCATCTTCCTCATGTCTATCTCCATTTCTCGGCGTAATATGTTCTTTGGTCTTCCTCTTTTGTTTCGGCCTTCAGAATTCTATATGAGCGCTTGCTCTGTGACACAGTTGGGTACTTTCCTCAATGTGTGTGCTATCCAATTCTAGTGCTTCTTCCGCTTGGAGCCCCTTCGTGGGCTACTGCCGGTCTCAAATCCGGACAAAGGAGGAGGGTTGGGCATGGGGTTAGCGACCCCATCCCGTAGAAAGCTAACTCGCTAGAAAAACCCTAACCAGAAAAATTCTGCGCACTATCAATTCTATTTCATTTTTAACGTTAGAATGATGTTTCGTTGATAATCTTTTAACAGAAAATAGTACCATTTGTATGTAAATGAAAATTCCAAAAGAAACATAATTGGGTGATTTAATTTGAAACATGTTTTGCATAATAATCATTTCTTCATAATAGTAATTCTATGCCTCGATATTACCCTAGTTCACAAGCATTATAAGCAAAGATGCATACGCACAGTATTTACATACGCCGGTCCTAAACGTCAATGGGAGATTCAAGTAAATAATACCAAGTGAATTTAAACTTCACCTCATCGCACAAGTAGATGGCTATTATGACTCAGTAGCGGATAGTACTGGGTTCAAGTCCCAGAGTGAACATCAGCTCTAAGATGAAGGTACATCCGACTGACGAGTCCCGACTAAGACGAAACGCGCGTCATGGATCCCACTGCTAGCCACTACACATCTTTGCTTACAAGGTTTAAAACCATCTCGAAATACTGAAGTTTTTTATAAAATGCCATAATGTATAGCTATTATCTTCAAGAATGGAGCAATCAGTTTTAGTTTCAAGCAATATATATATATAGCCTCTTAAGAACGTTAATCAATTTCATGTACTATATTGCCCATTCAGAACTTCATTTATCGATTAATTCACTTGTATTACCAGTAGGACCAGTGGCCTACTATGTATCAACTGTTACACCAACCAAAAAAACACTCAAAACCTTAACGCTAGTTAGCGGTCGAGACCATTCTAAACACAGTGGCCAATCAGAGGACGTGGATAGGAAACAGATTAGTTTCTTGTTTTGTTCAAATTGATTGTGATTCAAAACATATATAGTAATATACTTTAAATTCCTGACCACAGAGGGCATCAAACAAGAAATCATGATTTAAACATAATCATAACATCAGTGATAGAGAGCAAAACAAACAGTACCTGATTAATTACCAATAAATCTATACCATACTGACGACTTTGAGAGACCTATCAGACAACCAGGAAACGCTGTCTGGTTATTAAAGAATGAACAACAAAGAGCGATAAAATAATAGCTTTCATCTGAACAATCAACCCTCACATGTCAAATTATTTCTTGTAGCGAAGGGAAAGGTCGGAATAGTATCGTGAGTTTGAGTTTTTACCCCCATAGATTTTTCGTCACCAACTTACTTTGATCATAATGTCAAAAGATTAGGGTTATATATTATGAGTTTTAATTTGGGTTAAGAAATTAGGGTCGAGGTTTCTATAACACACTAACATCAGTTATAATCCGATACCTCGCCATCTTCCTATTTACAAACTTAAGAAACTTGGGGCTGAGATTTAGAGTAAGAGTTAGAGTAGTAGAATACCGCCTAGTTTCAATAAACACTCTTGACTACGCATTGAATCATTTCAGGTGACTTAACACAAAATCTTCTTTTGAAGCAGGTATTTTTCGTAATGTAGTTAGCACCATCCTAAATTCACTTTTTGGCTGCATAATACATATTTCCATTGACGTAAAGCACTTTAAGGACCCGATGTTGCCAATCTTCATTTCGCCAATAATAAGATACAAGTTATCTATCATTGAACTTCAAATGTGCAAAATACATAAGGCGTTACTTTGCTTCCTATTGGTTAATCTAAAGCCGTCGGTATAATATAATTTTACCTGACTAGGAATATGAATATAACTGTAATTCACACCTTTTGTTTGCTTAATTTATTTTATAATTTTCACACTTTCGTTTTCACAGGACAACGTACTACATCAACTCCAGTGCGAAATCATTTACCTAGATCACAGCCAACTCCAACCTCAAATTTTACTAATATTCCTGCACAAGCCCCATACCCGACGGGTTCATCACAAGTTCCATATCCAATGAGTTCATCACAAGATGGAATGCCAACAGGAGCAGCAGTGATATCGTCGGCGCCTAACTTTGATCAACCGCCACCATACCCTGCGTTATCTGAACTACCACCTCCCCCACCACCATATTATTCTAAAATAGACAATTCCTAAATAAAGAAAAAAGTATGTAGTTTACTGATAATATATGTTAGGCTTACTGTATTCGAGTTGATAGCATATTGTCTGTTTAGTATTTAAACAAAAATTTCACATTATGTATATATGGCGTATTATGCAATGAACTAAGAATTATTATTGATTCGTCATGATCTCACTAATGTGTAGCGTAACAAGTGATTTTTTTCTCATTAGCATTTTTTAGTTAGTCTTTTTTCTACGGGATAGGGTTGCTAACTCCATGTCCAACACTTTTCCTTTATTCGGGCTGGAGAGTGGCAGGAACCTCAATAAGGCTCCAAGCGCGAATCACCAGACTGCATCACGAAGCAAGTCCTTAGAGTGGAATCCTTAGGGTAATAGGAAAAAAAGGAAAACCAAGGACATATTTCTCAGATAATTGGAAGCAGACATCAAAAGGATGAGTAACACTTGATAAAAACTAGGAAGGAGATTCCAGAACAGTGCAGGTTTGAGATTCCTGGTCGATGGCCTATGCTCCACCAGGGGTAAAAGGCTTATGTAAGTAAGTAATGATCAAGATTGAGATCACTTATTTCTTGAACATATGGAAAACAATCTGTGATGCTCAAATCACGTAAGTGTTCATGATTCATACAACTAATACATCAGCCTTGATTGAGATCATGAACAGATCAGTGTTAGATCACTATGCGAAACCTGAAAACACTGGACGACTGTTTCAACTTAGCATAGGACTCCTCAGCATTACGCTTCCACAATCCCGCACATGGGACTCGAATATAGGACCTTCGGTACCACGCACAAATGCTCAACCTGTAGACCGCTGAGCCGGCATTCAACATTGCTAATGTCTAACTTCAACCAATTCACTGTATTGCGCCACCATTCTCCATTGTTTTCAGTGTGTAACTATCTCACAGCAGACACAGTTGAAATCCGTTGGTCATGGCTTTTCACTAGGACGCCAGGAATTTTCTCTTGAGGCTAGTAACACATAAGTGTTAATTTGCAGTAAAATATCAAATGATCTAGCTTAAATAACCATATTTACACTGAGGTTGGCACAAAAAAGTGGATGACACCAAACGGCTGACAACATAATATTTTGTATTCACTAAAAACTGAATTCCTTCCGTACAATTTAACATTTATAAATGTTAATAATAAAAGCAAGGGTGGATAGTGGCTAGCAGTGAAATCCACCACGCGCTTTTCTTCCTATTTAGGACACGTCAGCTAGATGTACTTACATCTCAGAGTTGATGTTCATTATGGGACTTCAATCCAGTACCGTTCACTTCAAACATTATTGCGTTATCCACTTATCCACTGAGTCCTGATAGCCACGTGCTTGTGTCCATCTTTGCTTGTGAATTTAGGCTATATCGAGTCAGTATACACATATGCCAATAAGAGACTGATCAATTGCAGTCCTAAACATTAATGGAAAGATTTCAATAAACAATACCAAGTGAATGTTATGAATAGTTTAATTAAATTTATATTAAATTTCAGGCTATACAATATGAAACTATGAAAACAACTTAGTGATTAAAATGGTTTCTATGCCCTAACAAATAAAAAATCATCAAAATTATTGATTTTTTTTCTTTCTTTCTTTCAATTTGTAAACTATTGAAAATACTTTTTATTCTGTTGATGTACAAATGGAATATTTTTTTTGTATAAATATAACAAGTTCAAAAACAAAAATAATTTATTGATCCACTTTATGATATAGAAATGAATTCAAAACTTATACCCACCCCACCCCCCTTCTCCAACCCCCCTTCCTCTCTTAATTTATTCTTAAAAAAAGGAACTAGTTTCAAAGTGATTTCATCATATTATAAATTGATCAGTATTTTTTTTGTGTATGATTTGCATGGTAACTAATTCGTTGATGGAATTGTTATGTAAACCGGTAATTATGTTTATTTTTATGTGTTCAGTTTATTGAAAGTAATTTTTCTTATTATTATTCAAGGTATGTATATAGTTATTGATGATCAATATTTTATTGAATCATCCTTAATGTGGTACCTAAATATTTTATAGTTAAGTTGATACTACCCCTTCTCAACTGAAAAAAAGAGTGAGCGAGAGAGAGAGAGATGGAACTATTTCGCAATTTATTCGTAATATCCAAATACAGTATACTGTGATGGATAACTGACAGTTGATTACATAACATACTGTATGTTGACTATGAGTATAATGAATTCAGTGTTGTAAATAATAAATTTCTTTAAAGAAACCTACTGTAAATCATTGAATGTTATATTGTTATTATAGTTTTTATATGAATGTTTTATATTCTCGGTTTGAATCTCGCGAGGAGGGATCATGGATACGCACTACCATAGAGGAGTTTCACAATAGGATAAAACAGCTATCCAGTGCTTCCAGATTTTCCATGGTGGTCTAGACTTAATTGACCCATGATCTCAACTATTGGGAATATTTTATGATTTTATGGCGATTATTGAACTTATCCTGGATGAAATTGAGATCAGTGTTTTTATTACAAATAATAAGAGTGTCAACCATATGGCTTTTGTATAAGTGAAAGTCGTCAATCGTCGTATGATGTATTGTGTACTTAAGATTGACAATGAAACAATCCTCTAGAAGCGGGCTAATTAATGAACCTATAGCGATGTCATCAATTTGTCCGAACATCTCATTAGTGATAAGTCGTCTAGTGAACACTAGATTCGGTTCCTAAGCTCTTCTAGTAATCCCAAGGCTAGATCTACATAGAAATTGAAACACTAGACAAAAGTTGCGAAATATGGAAGAAAATGCTTTACTCCGAAGGTTTGTTTATATACAGAAAATATAGGGTATTTATAATGTTTTAGATGGCCTTGTGTTTCCGGAATATTCTGAAATTCTACCAAACATAGTAACAGTATAAGTAATCATTGAATCAGAAACTTGACATGTGACTTCTCACTTTCTAGATGTTTCTGACAAAATGTCTTGTGATCAGTGATTGGATAAGATGCTTCTCAATGTTTTCAAAGCCCTTTTTTGCTTTTTTCGAGGAGTTTTCTGGATATCCCCAACAATTAGTGAATCTAAATTGAACATTGCAAATTCCTTTAAACAATGTTTTGGAATACCAACAGTGATGTTGTTATTTTCATTATTGTCATATACAAAGCCTATGGTCTCCGTCTCTCGTCCTATACAAGGACGAGACGACATTCCAGTGCTTCTAGGTCTTCAGTAGGGGTCTAACACTGATCCATTTATGATCCTAATTAAAGCTCAACAATCTCGACAACCCCTATACTGGAAATGTAAAACAGGTGAATGTTTTATGTCAAGAAATATAGCGAAACAGATCCCTTGAAGTGAAACAACACAATAGTTTGATAGTATTTCATTAAAGAAGTCAGATTAACTACAGCAAGCTTTAAAGAATAATGATATGAAGCATATCTGATGATTTCACTTCACTATGGTTACTTCATTCATAACTATAAATACTTGAAACTATAATACTGTCTAAAGTAACATTTATACGAATAATTCAGTGATATACTCTCTGGCTGTAAAGCTGGATAACATAGAATCAAATCCATCAAGAAGCATCAATTATCCCAAAATTACAGGTCCATCTTATTGATGAAAGCCAAACAGTATGATACCTAGATCTAGGGTTTTCTGTTAGTTAACTCCAATCATCCACCACTCAACAATATTTACATGGAAAATAATAAAATCACACGATATATTTTGCTGTTAAAAGTACTTGTGAAGATTTTCTTATTTACTTATCATTATTATCATTACCATCCCAGAAGAGAGATTTCGCCTTGAGGAGTTAAGCAAATACACAGAGTTTTTATTATGAAATGTAATTGGTTTTGTTATTCGGGGGGGGGAGGTGTAAAGTGTAATTACATTGTTGTTACTAACGTATTTTTTTATATTCTTGATAAAGGAGAATTGTAATGGAATTATTTAATAGTGAATGATAAATGTATCTTTTATGGTAAAAAAAAACAAAACAATAATGAGATAATGATGAATTTACTAAAGAATAGAAACGTCAATGAAAGGCTATAAACATGTCTAGATTCACAAGTATTTTCACTTGATATTGTTTTACTTGTATCTTCTTATTGTTCTTTAGAACTGAAATTGATCAGTCTCTTGTTGGCATATGTCCATCCTGTACGAATTGCCTCGATATAATCCTGAAGTCATAAGTTTTATAAGAAAAGATGGGTAGTGGCTAGCAGTGGAATCCAGTTTGACATGCGTTTCGTCAGGATAAGTGGATAATGCAATGATGTTTGAAGTGAATATTATTGGATTGAAGTCCCAGAGTGAACATCAACTCTGAGATGTAGGTACATCCAGCTGACGAGTCCTAAATAGGAAGAAAAGCGCTTCGTGAATTCCACTGCTTGCCACAATTCATCTTCGTTCACAATTATTTGAATACTGACTAGTAACCAATATCATATTTATATATTCGTCTAGTACTGCAGACTGATTTCGATCAATGAAGTTTTCGGAGTGACCCGATATCACGTGTGAGGTGATTGAAGGTATCTAACAAGAAACCATACTTCATCTAGGTTTCAAGCTAGATGGCACTTGTCAATAAGATATACAAATAATCTCGTGGATTCGCGACTACATTGTCCAACTTTACAATCAACCAGGGAGAATCGGTTCCCTCAAAATTATAAGTACATCTTGCAGATTGAAGTCAAATAGTTTTAAACTTAGATTCAGGGTTTCCAATCGATCATATTCAACCATACAGTATTTCTAGACTATTTAAGTTGAAAGAAGACAGAATAATGACATAGAAATCAATACATTTACGATGCCAATGTATTAAGAGAAAGTTCTAGATTCCAAATAAGCACGCCATATATTAATAAGACTAACAGATGATAAACAGAAGGAATCATAGAAAACCAATAAATGATTGACTTTCAATTATAAATTATAATCCTATGACCATAGCATTACCGTCAGAGTTAGGGTAGTGAACGAGAACACAGGTGAGGAAAACCAGGCGTATCTGAACACAAAATTACAGACTATCTTGTTAGAATCTGAGAACCATACAGTAAATACTTCATTTACAAAATATCCATCAATTGTCTCACACTTGATTGTTTGTTCATTTCCATACCAATCACTTTCTGTTCTCATTCTCTCCTCTCCGATCTTCTCAATATCTGCCATTAGGCATCCCACTTCCGACTGATGATAAATACTACTTATATCAGCAGTAGTGCACACCATAATAGGAATCAAAAAAACGTAGATGGAAGTTAATTGATATAAACTAAGAAACATTGAATAGACATTATAATTATCTCTTACTGTAGCCAGACATTAGAGGAAACGTAAATGAACCAAACTAACAAGGGAGAAAAGTATGGTTTGTACAAAAGATACTTCGGACTTGACATAAATATAAGTTAAAGGTACGATATAAATGAACAGTTATCAAAATTTATTTTACAAAATTAAATCTAATGAATGAACTATTGTATATATAGAGTTATTTCAGCACTTAGATGTAATGATGAATAAACAAGTCCGGTAGTCAATAGGAAGCTATGGATCTAGGTTTCGTACTATTCGACACTCATCAGCAATGTGTATCGTGTCACACAACTTCACAGTTCGAAACAATACCACCGAAATATTCCTATTTAGGTTCACCACAAAGCATCAATTCTCTCATGGTTACAGGTATATTTTGTTGAACAGAACTAAATCCAGACTAAGCAGGATTTCTTGTCGACTATTTCCAACCACCATGTGAAATCCAGTCACTTGGACTTGAGACCACACTTCAACCTCATTGATGGAATACGATCAGCGCAAATAAACGGTTAAAGACACTTGACAATAGTTACTAAACAGTGATCAGTCAGTCCCCAGGTGGCTGAATAAAGCAGTTCGCTTGGTAAAAATAAGATATAAAATTAACGTACAAGGCAGCAAGGCTCTTCAAGAAATCTATATATCCTACTAAGGAAAGAATAAAGGACATAAACCTACATATTTTACGAATCCAAAACTTTTTAAATATGCGAGACCGTAGAATTGTTTGGTTTAAACTTAATATTGATGAATTACTAATTAAAACGTCGTCATCTATTACTAATTCTGTATCTGTTCCAAACTTCAACGCGACTAGTAACAATGTATAGTCAATTAGTGTGTAAGGGTTCATATCACTTAACTTTGCAAATCATATTTAGAAAATTTCACATCTAATCAATTACATTGTACAACAGAGCATGTCATTTCAGTTTTGTAAATATAAACAAAAGTTATAATGCGCTACTTATATACACATAAGTAGTATATAACGATAGTCAGGCATAGAATGTATTTCAGTAGAAGATCGAGAAGGAAAGAACGGGAACGGATGGCGATTGGTATGAAAATGCAGGAACAATGAAATCTGAGACGATGAACTGATATTTGCAAAAGAAACAGTGGAGTTGGAGACAATTGATTGATATTTTGAAATTAAGTATCTAGTGTATGGTTCGCAGATCTTATTGAGATATTCTGTAATTTCGTGTTCAAATACATTTGGTTGTCCCCAATAGTGTTCAACTTCACTACATTTGGTATTGCTGCGAGGACCTGCTGAACCATCTACATACGACGTCCGACCGACAGCCGTACGTTCCACCACTCCCTCGTTCGACAGCACCCGCAACAGCCAACGCCGCCCTGCCAGAACACTCCACTCGGGGTCACCTCTCCGTACCAAACCGCCCCACCTGGCACCTCAGCTTCAGGCTCGCAACGGCGTCCACAGAACAGCATCCTTCCCCTTTCTTGGTTGGCAGAGACATTAAATGTAATGAAGTTTGAATACTAGTGGGGACAACCGAATGTATTTGAACACGAAATTACAGAATATCTCAATAAGATCTGCGAACCATACACTAGATACTTAATTTCAAAATATCAATCAATTGTCTCCAACTCCACTGTTTCTTTTGCAAATATCAGTTCATCGTCTCAGATTTCATTGTTCCTGCATTTTCATACCAATCGCCATCCGTTCCCGTTCTTTCCTTCTCGATCTTCTACTGAAATACATTCTATGCCTGACTATCGTTATATACTACTTATGTGAATTTAAATAGCGCAAACCACAATAACACTTAACATGGTATCCACCATAAGCATCTCCTGGTCACTGACGTAACATGGAAATTTACCTTTGCATATACACATCATGGTGAAGCTGAGGTATACATTCGAACGACCTTGAGATTTTAATCAATCAGGAAACAGTAAATATGAATGTATGAAGTATGATACAAAATGAGAGTGTATGCAAGAAATGTATACGTTTTGATTATAGGTTTTTAATTGGCGTTAAAGCTTACGACTGGAATCGAGGTTTTGGATTATGATTTAGGCTTAATTTACAGAGTTATGATTTAAGATTAGAGTTAGAATTAGAATGTAGTATGGATACTATGACTTAAAATAAGGATGTACGATAAATCTGTGTGTACTCTCATTCTAAGCTTAAATCCTAATCCTAAATCAAACCTTGATCGTAAAGTCTAAACTCTACATTACAAAGTCTGATAGGTAGATGATAAGTGAGTAAATTTTAATAACTTTTAAAGTCGCTCAATGTTATCTGTCCTGTAATCTGGTCGACAGTTGCTATCTTCTTCTGATATTCTTTATTAAACGTTTAGGTTACTCCATGACCTAAGCATTCTCTTTACTACACAAACCAATTCGGTAGTACACTTCACGTTTAGCTACATCACATTGACAGTTACAATTTGATTATATTTCAATCATATGATCCACATTCTATATACCATCATGACTCAGAAATCGTTCGTTATATTATGGTCTATAAACTCATTGAGTTTGACTATGTTTATTTTCCTAGAACATCTCCGAATAGGAACTTTGAGTTAGGTGATCTACATATTTAATTTTCGTTATTTAAAATTTTATACATATCATCTTCAGCTTTTGAGAATAAATAGGCTGTAACTAATAGTAGACAGCATGATGTATAACATCCTACGTGGAACTCGTTCAATGGATCCATCTATCACACCTCACTGTTGACGTTATTATTGAGACTGAAATCCAGTACCTTAGACTTTAAAATCCCAACAAATCATCCATTGAACTATTACATTCAACAGTGATGATGTTTATATCATTATTAGTAAGAATTTAAGTTATCCCGTTGTTAATATTCACCTTATTTGATACTTGATTCATTCTCTTAGAAACTGTATATTCACCAAATAAGTTGCTTATCATTAAATTTATTTATTATCTACTCTTCCTTCTATGAAAAGTTTAATTTGTTTTAACTAAACACGTACACATCATCGACAATAAGAAGTATGTTGGCATTTATTTTCCAATCCTAATAACGTTTAAAAAGGTTATGATTACGCATATGGGAGAGTCCTGTAAATTTGGAAACCATGGAATAAACCAAGAAGTCAGTGATGAAACATACATCCAAATGTGTCTAAAAGCAATTGTCAGTAATTTACATTTGAGATATTTTAGCGTTATCATCTAGTAAATTTATAATATCATCATTAAGGTATATTTGTGATAATAAGTCAACTAGTACAAAACTTAGATCAAGAAAAGTTTTCTATCGACTACTTTTAATCATCTAACAACATGGAATTCGATCAGCACTACTAAAGGTCCTTTCAGCGGAACATAGACTGAATCAAAGCATGATCCATGCACGATTGCTTTGGCGCACGCTGATTGGTTAAGAATTAACTTATCAGCGCTACTCGGCACTTGGAGAGCACTCGAGAATCTCACTATAAAAAGCTACAAATATACTAACTTTTTACCTGTTGTGCTTTTTACTTGTATCTAACCTTGTTATTTGGAATATAATCTCTTTCCTGTTCAACCGTGTTCTGATTTGGGGACTTGTCGGGTGAATTAGTGTCCAAGATTACTAAGCAACAGGAATAGATGGGTTGCAATAACAGAGAATTATAACAAGTTCAGACAAAGATGACATTGACATGAACGAGGTGATAACAACCGATTGTATCTTAATACAAAATACAGAGTTCTTCCATCAAATATGAAGACCATACGTTCAATAATTCATTTGTAAATCCTCAATTAATTATCTCAAACTTCATCGTTCCTTCATTATCATAATAATTACTCACTGTTTCCGTTCTTTTCGATTTCATCTTTCCAATCTTTTGCTGACAGACATCCCAATTCTGGTTATACATCACTTTTATTAACAGACATACGTAGCATACACTACAACTGTTCAATCAATTTAAGAAATTTCATTGAGATTAGATCGTGGTTGGAGGTAGTCAACAGGAAACCCTGGACCCAAGTTTCGTGCTACTTGGCACTCGTCAGCAAGGTGTACCTGTAATCTTGAGGGAACTGGTGCTCCCTGGCGGTTTCGATCTCGTGTCACCCAGTCAGAGACGTTGCCACTGAGCTATCCGAGCCGCAACTGACCTCCTGTAGGGCTGAGATGTGATCACAATTGATTGATCATTGGGTGGTGATCAATGTCATGCTTGTCTAGTCCTACAGTAGGTTTGTCATGATTCGAACAATTGCTTGATAATTTTTCACACTGTAAACTTGATCATTGCTTATACAAATCTATCAGTGAGCATCAATTCTACTAACATCATAACTACTACGCCTTAAATTCTGGGGTCTCCTATCAACTACTAACAACCATATAACTTTTAGACTCAAATCATACTACTTATGAGTAACCTATCGAGTCATTCAAAACTTTTATATCATTACTTATTACTTTATTATTATTGTTACTAATATCATAATAAATCAATGAACAAAGATAAAAATTATCACAACGGATAAGCAGGTAATATGTAATTAACAAAAAAAAACCAAACTGTCGGTTACCGATAAGTTTTTGTTTTTCAAAAATTTTTTATCTGAATAATAAAGTTCAATTTAAACAAAACACGAAAAAAAATACACGGATCAAAAATGAAATGGGAAATAAAATAAAAACGATTCAATTAGAGAGAGATTATTGTTCACAACCGAAACTTCACAACCAAAAATCTCTTTTCACAACCAATTTTGTATATATATATATTTATACTACTGAAATAAGTATTATAAGTAGTAGTAATAATAATACTGACTAATAATAAGTAGTCCTGTTCAAAAATCCAACATTAGATGATTAACAAAAAAAACAAACAAACAAATTCATTTGTAAACAAATCTGATTATTTGAAATGCATATAATAAATTGAATATATAATAATAATAATTTTCACAACCTTATAAAGGGAAATACCCTCTCCGTCACCTCCTCCCAAAAGCCTAATTAAATGCATCGTCAAAATCATCATCGAAATGTGTTCACAACCATTTAGATTTCAATGTTACATTACTAAGAAGAAAATGATTTAATATAAATTCAAGAAAAAAAATAATCGTAAATATGCATTGAAATAAAAACAATCCTCCCCCCTTCCTCCATCAAAAAAAAAGATTAGTGACAATAAGCAAACAAACGATGGGGGGAGAGAGAGAGAGGGGAGGGAGAGGGAAGGAGAGTGAGAAGAAATCACAACTGATGATGAATAGAAAATGTAAATATGATATTGGATCTATATTATTTTCTTTTTGTCACAACCATCATTTCATAGTTATAGTTAATCACAACCATAGAAACAATGAAAGGGATAGAATCTCAACTGATTGAGAATAATAATAATGAAAGAACAGTAACAACCGATTGAATTGCATTCAAATGTTACCAAGTCAGTAGTAATAATTAGTAGTAGTAACAATAATAGTAAATAATATATAAGCTTAAAATGTAATTAACTTTTAATTGTAAATTATATGATGCTTGATTACGTTTAGTTGTATTCAATTCAGATGATTTAATAATATTTGGATATAATGTACCAAATGATTCAATAGATTGTTTGTTTATATTACCAGTCATTTCATGTTGTGTAGTTGGTTGACGGGATTTGCACGCGGAATCTAATAATATGATGAAGATAAGATAAACGATGAAAAAGTACCATTCATTACTTGAAATGTTTTGTAATGAAATAAGGAAAAACAACAATATAATAATAACAATCGTAGGCATGGTTGTTTTAATATCCTCAGAGGGGGGATTTGAACCCAGGACTTATGCGCGAGTACTTAACCACTAGACAACTGAGCTTGTCGGTATCCAAGTGTTAATGTCTAACTTCAATTAATCCACGAAATTTAGCAACATATCCACCATTGTCATCAGTGAGCGTTCGCGCGCGAGACTGATAGGTCCCGTTAGGCGGGGTCGTGGATGCGCACTGTCATGGAGGATTCCCACAATAGAACAAAACGGCCGTCCAGTGCTTCCACGTTTTTCATAGTGATCTAGCTTCAATTGATAGATCCTTACAACCGTAAAATTATAGAAAATATTTTTTTTAAAAGTGTAATACCAAAAACAAAATCACATTTACTTTAACTTACTATATAAAATCCGTTCTCTTAACATTGGTAATTGTTCACGCCAAAACATACAATAATGTCTACGTAAATTTTTACTTATATATGAACGTGGCAATGTAAAAACCATATGTTTACGTGAATCATCATTTCGTGTTTTAAATGAAGAAATTTCTGAAGATGATCCACTTGATACTGATACTCCTGATATTCCCAGTGATGGTGAAGATGATGATGAAGAAGAAGATGATGATGATGATGATGATTCACTGAGAACTGCTACAGATTGTGGTGAATATGTTTCATATCGATCCCAATAAAGTTCTTTATTACGTGTATGAAATTCTCCAGGATTTAAATTTGGTGATCTTCAATACAAAGAAAAAAAGAATTCTGATAACTGTAAGATATTTACTTTTATTTACAGTATAAAACTTATAAAATTTCTCGATGCAAATAACTTGTCCGCTTCTTGGTATGTTTCATGAACAAGAATATGATATTCGATGTTTGATGATTATAGAAAGAAAGCTTAAACTGGGCAGTCTAGTGAGAAGAATCTATAACCTGGCACATGTGTAGATTAGTCCAAGTTTCTACACTACATCAGTACAGATAGATAAATATCAATGGTGCTTCTGTGCTTCTGTGATAATATAATCGATTCTGAACCATTATCATCCAACTTCTTCAACCAGTGATTATAGTCCTCGTGTGGACACTAAACGAATAGCCTGCATTTGTTCATATACCTCGTTCCAACAGTCAATGAAGACATAGAATAATGTGAAATTTTGATTTTGTTATCCCTATCTTTCGTCCAACGTATTCATACACAAGAACATGTCATAAGATGAGGCTGACAGTGGTTGAGCATACGTAATACGTGTCTTGAACGGCTTAGTCAATAAAGACTCATTATAACATCAACCTACTTGTCATCCTAAGCCTAGTACTCTGTGTCACTCGGTGATTAGTAAAGGCCTATATTTTGTGATAATTCACGCTTACCAACAAATCACTATCCGTGAACTTTATGATCTAGATAACATGCTACGGCTTTACGTCTCACTCAGTGATCAATTAATACAAGTTCTCAGTTATCCTAGTCTGTTTCAAATCAAAACCAGTAGTCTCTCTTTTAATTTTCATTACCTTTACGAGTTCTTGATAACTGTTGACAATAAAGTGCTCTAAGCGATTGGATGGAGGCTAGCAGTTCAACGCTCGACTCGCATTTTGTCCTATTTAAGGCTCGTCGGTTGGACGTACCTGCAACATCTCACAGTTGATATTTACTCTGGTGCTCAAATCCAGTATCGTCCTCATTAACTATTATCACGTTATCCACTTACCTACTGAGTCTAGATAACTACTGGCTTTGCAATAGGTTAAAGGTTAATTTATTCATATTGGTTGTTTGAATATTCTTAATGATATTGGGGACGTTAATCGATCAGTCTCTTATCGAAATATATGCACTCTGTGCGGATTGCCTTAATATTGCTATGAAGTCACAAATATATGATAAATAACATAGCAGTGAAGGAATTCTTAATGGATAAGGCACACTACTTTCGATCATTAGATCACAGATTTGGACCATAATAGCTCACATAGACACTGTTACTCAAAGTTGATTACATAAACTTAAAGTTAATCAGTGAGTTAACATCTAAATGTCATGTCATACACAAGTCTGGATCAATTCACCCTCCTTCTCGAAATACTCTCTCGTAACAATGAGTGTATGACTTTTCCAAAAGAAAAACCAACTCATTATCTTCACGCTGCGCATGCATTTGAATCAAAGAGGTGAAAACAGATATCTAGGCCTCACACTCAGGCGAAATTCGACTTCATGCAATGTTTACTGATTATTATTTCACAATAGAAGTGGAATACAAGTAGTTTTTTAATCAACATTTCGGTTTACAGTTTCATTCAGTAAAACAATGATACCTCCATTATAAGATACCAGCCAAAAGTCGGGTAATTTTAGCGCATACGCCCCCAAATGCTCTCACATAGCCATGTGCATACAACCACTCCAAGGAAAGTCCTACTCACTGCCTTCTCGCACCATGGGGATGTTAGTTTCGAAATTGAGAAGACGAAAAGCGAATGTCCAGCTGTTTAACCGGGTCGGTGGAAATGGAGGATCCATCAAGTGGGGTTAGAAAACACTGATTCCAAACCAATGGTGCACATGGGCTCTAGGATCCTGAAGGAAAAATGGCGTATGAACCAATCGTTGATCTCCGGCTACCATGGAACTGTATCTCCTTACGTTACTCCACTTCCTTGTAGATCAGATTCTTAGGTCGAAGGCTTCGAGTGTGGCCTCCTAAGAAAAAACATCTGTTTCAGTTTGGACAACGGGACAGTAACACAGACCACATACAAATCAAGTGATATATGTGGCGTATATCTATTTGGTGTCTCCTTGTACCAATATCTATGTGTTAAAATAAATAAATAAAATAAACATTTGTCTATTCTACCTAAATAACTTTCCATCTCATCTAATGTTCATGTTATATCCCGATACGAATAATGAATGGTAACTTTCGGGATCCTTTTATGGACCAATACTATGAGTATATTTTTATTGTATAATTCTTATGTAACTAAACTGTTCATATTCATGGCGCTCTTATTATAAACTTTAATTTGACCCATAGACTATTACTATACGATTGACCATTCTCGAGTTATGCCCAGTCTATCAATTACAATCTCCCTTATTCACAGAAACATTTGTCTAATTCTTGTACAAATGTTGCTTCATATTTTATGGCACGATGTAGTTTGTCTGGTTGGTTTATCAACCCAGTATGTTTGAAATAAATTATTCATATCTCAGGTGCTGAGATTGGTGTTCTAGACTACAACTGGCTGGGCTAGACAGGAAGTGAGAGCAATCAAGACTCTAGGCTGCTCGCACATGTTTTATGCATCACTGGTTCGACTGATAATTCGCTGCTCTCTGATTGGCGGTATCGTTGCATTATCCAATATACAGGGCACACAGGTTCACAAGTTATAACAGTTCATTATAGAATTGGAATTCGGCTTTCACCGATGGAGAATGCTGGTGAGCGGCCTATGCTCCTTCACGAGGAGTAACAGGCGTAATTAATTAAGTATAGAATTGAAAGATGATAATCATTTTTTGTTTCATTAATTTACCCTGTTGAAGCAAAATTTGTCCAAAATTGCATTATTTCTTCACTTAAACGTTTTTCTTCTAATGTAAAATTATAATAATGATCAATAAATGCTTGATTAAATGGTGCACCAAATATGTATTCAGCTTCATAACCTTGCATAACACCAGTCCATTCAGGCCATGTTAAACCAGTTGTACGATGTTCAAATGAATAAAGAAATACCTTGAATGAATGAAAAAGACAAAAATAGTTGTCATGTAAAAAAAAACAAAGGTTACTAGTCATCTATTAGAACATACAATAGATAAAATCTTAATTGGGATTCCTTTAAAAGATTAGCGTGGTAGGATTTGAACAATTAAACACTTAGAATATACTGAAAACTTGTATCTAATCACTAGTACTATGGAAGAGGTTACTAAAGCCTTAAACAACCTATAACAATACCTAACTAGCATTAGCATGAAAATATCAATCTCCAAAACCAAAGTTATGATCATAAATAAGAAAGGCAACTTATTAACTGTTAATATAGACAACTAAAAGATAGAGAAAGTAGAAAGCTTCCTCTATCTTAGCTCCACTATAAATAACAAAGGTATGGCGTTTGCTGCTTATATTGATATAAGTAGTATATGACGCGAGTTATAAAACGTAAGTTCTGGCAGCAGAAGATGGGAGAAGATCAAGAAAGGAAGTGCGGGAACACAATTCAATTTGTAAGAAAACGCATGAACAATGAAATGTGAGATAATGGATTGATGTTTGCAACAGGAACAGTCCAGGTTGATATGATGAAGTCATATTTTGGAAATTAACGACTTGCTATATGGTTTTTCTAGTTTATCAAGTAACTCTGTAATTTTGTGCTAAGTACATTCGATTGTCCCCACCTGAGTTCTGTTCACTGTAAAGGAACCCCTGACAATGCGATAGCGCATAATATGAAAAAAGCTAAAACTGCGATAATTAAGATTAGACCAATACTTGAATGTAAAAAAAAACTTAGCCTTAGTACTAACGTCATACTGGTGGATTCTTCAATAATCTTCATTCTTAGATATGGACTAGAGTCCACAGTACTAAGAAAACGAGACTGGACAAGATTAAAAACGGTTCTAAACACCAATAAGACAAATAATGATCTTAGGTATAAACCATAGAAAACAACTTACCTAACTTAGCTAATAAAATTATGCCAAATAGGCTAAATCTATGGTATACTGTATACAAAAGACCAAATAGCCTAATGGTGAGGTCTTTAAATATCAGTTTTGAAAACCCAAGCAACAATAGAAGAGTCCATACAAAAGATTGGTTAAGGTAACTACACCAAAACCTTAAGGAAATGGGCAAACGATTACCTAGAACCTGGATAACCCAACCGAACACGGTTAAAATTAATCCATATCAACAATATTTCCCTAAGATAATAGGAAAACACCAACTAAATTACATAATCTATTAGTTGAATTCATGAGTCACTTAAAGCTAGACCACCATGAAAAACCTTGAAGCACTAGACAGCCATCTCATCCTAGTATGTCAAAATGAAAATTACAATAGAATATTTGCCACAATTAAAACAATGAATAGACATTATAGGAATAACCATCAAAATAAACCTCATACTGAAGCCCATTACAACTGTCCCCTAACTGACTGCAATAAAACTTATAAGACATTGGTCTGGTTTAATAAATATTTTGAATCTTTCCATCCCTAACACAATCAACTTATAACGGAAATTATAACCGCATTCAATAAAAACAACTCACTAAATAACCTAAATAAATGTCCATATCCAGGCTGTAATAAGACCCTATTAACTAAGAAAGGAATAATCAATCACTGCTATGTAGTGCATAGGTGGTTGGCAATTACCAAACAGGAAATAAAACCAAAGACGAAAAAAACTGCAAGCACAACTTTTGAACCTCGGTGATTGTACCGTGCTTCGATGTAGCCTCTTCTCCAGAAGGATCTACTACGCTTCACAAACTAGTTTGGCTGGAAGGGGCACTATTCATAGTACTTGTAAGTAATAATTGTAAAAAAACATTTGTAAGTAATGCTAACAAGTTTGGAAGTAGTACATTTCATGTTGTAAGCCAACATTGTACTTCTAGATATTTTTGATTTTATGTTATCCCATTGTTGATCTAGCTGACGAGCACCAAACAGAACGAAATGCACCTCATGTTACTCTTCTATTGTTTCTTCAATACAAAACTTTGACGGTAAGATTTCAAGTTCTTATGGAAATGCAACTCTTGAACCATCACACAATAGCAACATGTTTCCTTTTAAAATTCTATGATATCGTTCTATAACGTTTTAGGCAATTAAAATACCATCAAAAATAACATAGTCAGCATTATATTTTCTGTGTCCATGGAAACGTTTGAGATCATTTCTCTGGTGCTTGCTTAACCATTATTACTGACAATTAGCAGAAAGGGTTGATCTTTAAATGATTCTTTCATTTTATATCCTCCCTAAAACAAAATGATATCCAGTGGCTTTATTATCTAAACTATCAACTATTTCAAATGATATTTCATCGAATTCAAAGAGCGCTGACAAGTCATCATTCAGTGGTTTTTACTTCAATCACCTGAATGAAGTTATTAGTGTCTTCTGAAAGCCTAACTTTGAGGCTACATGCAAGTCACTAGTACGAAAACTTTCGTAAACATACTTCGGGAGCAACCTCAAGGAGGGTTGATGGTCAATTCACCTTTGTATTTGATACCACACCTTTTTCGTATCTCTTCTAAATGGACACAGGGCAGGCATTTCAACAAATGTTCTTTTAGCAAATCAAGTGCATATCTTTAACATATACCGATATACATAACTACAAGCAGTAGTACAAGCAGTTCAATATACATAAACATGCACATCGGGAAACCCTCAAGATCTAGTGAGCCCCGCGTTTTGAAACTACGAGTAATCCAGATTACAGAAGAGTGGTGGATTATTCTGAACTATACTGAGTGTCCAAATTAGCTAGCTAGTTTTCTCTTTCTACCCAACGGTGCTACGTGTAGACTTTGAGTCGGATTTTACTGTCCCAAGTGGGGTAGACATTTTTATACAAGATCACAATCTACTTGTGAGTAGTTTGTAACCGTATTTAAAATATTGTCGACATATCACATGATGTGAAGCTTCATGCTGCGTTTCAATTTTATTAACAATCGTCTTTAAGAAAAACTCGAAGCTTATATACACCACCTCGTTGGTTGGATTTAATAATCATACCTGTGCGTTAGGTCCACGGGAATAGAAGTCAGCAAATTCAACAACTGGACATTTTATATTGTAATCTCCACCAACTTCATTCAATGCTTTCACAACTTCTAATGATGTCCAACTACCAGTGCCTAATGCTCGGCTAGGAATCTAAAAATGAACATTAAAAAAGTAAGCGAAATTAGTTTTAATCGACCGAAAAATTTGTTTATATATTTTGTTTTAAGTAAGAACTAAAGGACTAAAGGTTAAGCATTCGTACACGTGACCGAAGGTCCTAGGTTCAATCCCTTGTAGATGGGGTCGTAGATGAACCATATAAAAACGAAACAGCTGTTTAATGTTTCCAGGTTTGTGGTGATATCCTAACCAAAATCAGTTGGTTAGTCAAACTACGATAATCAAAAATCGACTATTAAACGTTTGTTTAGAACGAAGCTATCATCTTCCTGGTACTCTTCTCTTTATTTAGAAGTAACCACGTATCAAGTTTACCATGAGCCTGAAATTATGTAAAAATGACCGCATTACTACAATTGAAGAAGTTAAGGAACTCAAAACAACTTTCAACCAATATCAAAGTCACAATCTTCAATACGAACGTCAACACAGTTCTACTGTAGGGAGCTGAAACTTGGAGAACTACTACAACCATCATCAAGAAGGTACAAGTATTTATAAATAGTTGTCTATGTAAGATAGTCAAAATTCATGGGCCGGATACCATCAACAACAGCCTACTGTGTGAGAGGACAAACCAGCTTCCAGCTGGAGAGGAAATTAGGAAAAGACGATGGAAGTGGATAGAAAATCCATTACGGAAATCACCAAACTGCATCACGAGACAAGTGCTAACTTGGAATCTTGAAGGGAATCGGAAAAGAGGAAGGCAGAAGAACACATTACTTTAGGAAATGGAAGAAGATCTGCAAAGGATGAATAACAACTGGAAAGAACTGGAAAGAATTGCCGAGGACAATGTTGGATGGAGTGTGCTGGTGAGCGGCCTATGCACCTCCACGAGGAGTAACAGCCATAAGTAAGTAAGAAATTATGAAAAAAGGTTGAGTTTGAGTTTTTGGCAACAATATATAATACAATAATTGATATTTTTATGTAAGTTCATAAATCTATCTAAACTTCTATCAAGTTATTCATCTGATCAATTGGTCTACACCACATGCATCATACTTTTTGAGATAAGATGATGGTTGGAGATAGTCAACAGGAAACCCTGAACCTAGGTTTTGTGGTACTTGACACTCGTCAGCTTGGTGACAAGGGATCGAATCCACTAGGGAGCATCAGTTCCTTCAAGATTACATGCATGATTTGCTGACGAGTGTCAAGTACCACAAAACCTAAGTCCAGACAAGAATGGAGAGAGTGGACAGCCCTGACAAACACCACTAGAGGTAATCAATTCTGATGACAGTTCGCCATAAGCTCTCACTCGACCAGTTGTGTTCGAGAAGAAAGCCTTCACAATATTAATGCACTTCTTTGGTACTCCTCTCTGTGACAAACACTGCCATAAAACCTCACGATCAACAGAGTCGAATGTCACCTTAAGATCGAGAAATACTACCATTGTGGGGCGTCTGAATGTGTGTCTGTGTTCTAGAACTTGACGTAGTGTGAATATCTGATCTATACAACCATGTCCAGGTCGAAAACCAGCCTGATTTTCTCTACTCTGATCTTCACGAGCTGTGGTTAGGCGTCGAAGTATTATTGAAGCTAATATTTTAGACACTATATTTGTCAAACTGATTCCTCTGTGATTGTCACAAGAGGACTTTTGTCCTTTCTTATAAACTGGCACAATCAGTGATTGAGACCAGTCAGATGGGATTACGTTCAGTTTACAAATTCTGCCTAGGACCTCAGTCAATCTCACTGCTAATACTGGACCGCCATCCTTAAAAATCTCAGGAGTAGACCTGTCAGGGACGCACATATTGTCCTATTGGGGACTCATCAGCTGGATGTACCTACATCTCAGAGTTAATGTTCACTCCGGGACTCGAATCCAGTACCGTTCGCCTCAAACGCCATTGCGTTATCTACTTAGCTACTGAGTCCAGATAGCCACCTGCTTGTGCAATTGGTGAAGTTATATTCATTTGGTGTTGTTTACATGTGTCATCCCATTGCACAAGCTGGTGGCTATCAGGACTCAGTACCTTAGTAGATAAAGCGACGGAGTTTGAAGTATGCAGTACTGAGTTCGAGCCCCAGAGTAGACATCAACTCGGAGATGCAGGTACATCCAGCTGACGAGTCCTAAATGGGATGAAACGCGCGTTCTGGATTACACTGCTAGCCAATATCCATCTTATTCATCCATTTTTTGAAAATAATTCCATTAACATTTATCAAATAAGCTCGCAGACAACAGGAATCTATTCTGAATATACCATTCCTCATTATCATCATTACTTATCAATGTGACAATAGTTTTAAAACTTACTTGATATTCAAAAACAGTAGCTTGTAACAAAACTGACTGAAGGAAATTTTCATCCATTATATAAAACGCTAACAAATCTAGAGGATCCATAAGCGCTATATCATGACGAAATTCTCTTGGCATTTGTGGCCATAAACCAGGTGACATAAAATACATTCTTAAACTTTGTACAAGATGATACATGCCTACATGATATTAGACATACAAAAGAAAAAAACAAATGATTAATAAAACAATATGACAATAAGTTAATAGTTGAATTCATGCGTCAACTGAAGCTAGACCACCATAGGAAACCTGGAAGCACTGGACGACTGTTACGTTCTAGTATGGGACTCCTCAGCAGTGCGAATCCACGACAGTGTAGCAATTTCGCGAATTGGTTGAAGTTAGACATTAACATCAATGGATGCTGACTGGTTCAGTGGTCTAGAGGTTATGCGTTTGCAAGCGAGAGCGATAGGTCCTGGGTTTGAATCTCGCGTGATGAGATCATGTATGTGCACTGTCACGGACGAGTCCCATACTAAGACGAAACGGCCATCCTGTGCTTCTAGGTTTTCCATGATGCTCTAGCTTTAATCGAATCATAAATTCAACTATTGAAAGAATATCAAACAATTAAAATGTACAAAAAATCTGAATATAGAAATATATTTGGCAAAATTATATTTTAGTGACGAACCAATCAGAATCAAGAATGCGATTTTTAATTTTTGGCGTGAAATACAAATATCATATTTAACAAATAGAAGATATATCTCTGTATACCATTTAGAACGTGTAAAATGATTTGGAAAAAAATTAATTTTCTCAATTATAGATAACAAATCGACATTAACCCTAAACTCTTACCTCAAACTACATTGCTGAACAAACCTGAACTTAGTGGCATTACATTTTATAAAGGAAGTGATTAAACAGCAATTCTTATTTAATCATATGGCTACAGATCATTTTCATATTATAGATGATGTAAGTTTGTGATGAAAACTCTAATATGAACTGTAACTAGGAACAATTTAGGGGGTACATAAACGTCTGTCTGGATCCTTTTCGGAGTTTAAGAATATAGGCAATCTATATCATCCATAATAACAAGTTTATAAGTCGATGGTTTTTTAGTTACGAAGTAATGTAGTGTGTTTAAGATACTAACAGATGTATTACACTTTCCAATATAACTGTTTTCTTTTTCATAAACCATTCATTTATAAAAGATCTTTCTTGAATGGCTCTTCCCTAGATACTATACTTATACCATATTTCCTACAAATGATGTTAAACTTTACTGTTTACGAAAATTGAATATTCAATACATGTGATAGTGAACCAGTGAACATTTTATTTTATTCTTGTTGAGGTCGGATCCAAAAAACTCCTCGAAAAAAACCAAAAAAGGCTTTGAAAACATTGAGAAGCATCTTATACAATCACTGTTCACAAGACATTCTGCCAGAAACATCCAAAAAGTGAAAAGTCACATGTTGAGTTTCCGATTCAATGATTACCTATACTGTTACTATGTTTGGTAGAGTTTCAGAATATTCCGGAAACACAAGGCCATCTAAAACACCATAAATACCCTATATTTTCTGTATATAAACAAACCTTTGGAGTAAAGCATTTTCTTCCATATTTCGCAACTTTTGTCTAGTGTTTCAATTTCTATGTAGATCTAGCCTTGGGATTACTAGAAGAGCTTAGGAACCGAATCTAGTGTTCACTAGACGACTTATCACTAATGAAATCTTCGGACAAATTGATGACATCGCTATAGGTTCATTAATTAGACCTCTTCTAGAGGATTGTTTCATTGTCAATCTTAAGTACACAATACATCAACAGACGATTGACGACTTTCACTTATACAAAAAGTATATTTTTGACACTCTTATTATTTGTACTAAAAACACTGATCTCAATGTCATCCAGGATAAGTTCAATAATTGCGATAAAATCATAAAATAATCTCAATAGTTGAGATCATGAGTGAATTAAGTCTAGACCACCATGGAAAAATCTGGAAGCACTGGATAGCTGTTCTATCCTATTGTGAAACTCCTCTATGGTAGTGCGTATCCATGATCCCTCTTCGCAAGATTCAAACCGAGAATATAAAATATTTACATAAAAACACTGATTAAGTCGAGCTAACAAAGTATTAAGTAATTGATCTCTTTAATGTTTTAGTGTTAAGTATGGAAACTATTCTTTATCCAGTTCCAATCTAGGGAATTGTTACTTTTTCAAATTTGCTTTATCAGTCACTCAAATACAACATAGAATTTAGTACATTTCTAAGATCGACAATTCAAATTGTCATTATCTCACTACTCTGTTATTTACATTTGGAGGGTTTTAATGGTATTATCACTTCATTAGTTTGTTAGTGTTTAAGCGTTTTGTTTTTATACGATAGGTATATATCTCATCATTGTTGTCATGCATGTGGAATTTATAATATTTATCACTTGAATGTTGAATGTTGATATATTTAGGAAACTTATAAAGACCTGAGTGTGTCAGAGACTTACAAATACAATGTTTGAATATAATGATAAATATTTCCAGTTTAGGATTAGATTAAAAGAGATCTAATAAATTTCAGATCGAAATATAGGATCAGTTCATGATGCCACTGATGGTTGAATTGAACTATGTGGTTGAAGTTAGGCTGACAGACTTATTGTAACCAATGGTTGCAGACATTATGTGGCATGGCTCATAATCAGTCGCAATGGCCCAGATATATGCACTCATTGAATTTCCTTAAATCTTAACTTTGAAAACTTTTCTATTCCCTGAATCGGAAGCATTGAACAGCCAATTCATCTTAGTATGGGATTGCTCGGGTGTGTGTGTCCATGACCTTTTTAACCGAAAATCAAGCTCTCGTCCTCCGGTTTCGCGTGCGAACGCCTTATCTCCAGATCAATGAGCCCAAGTCTAGTTCTACTGAAAGCAAATGTAAAATGACCTTATTGAAGTGTGCATTTATGACTATGTGATCATCATTCCTCGAATTGATTCCTTCTTCGCCAATCATTTTATATATACCTGGTCTTTTCTACTACGCTTGATTTTGTCTTTATAATTCCACTTCATTTTAATAGTGCTATAGTGTGCGCTAATTATGCGGACAGACATAGGTAGTATGTAGCAGGAATTGGAAGTACAATTCTTACCAGCAGAAGAGTGAATTAAAGAAAAGAGGAAAGAAAACGAAGAGCAATCCGAATAGCAACAGGATCAGAAGAATGTTAAAGTATTTTAAAGACAACTGAAGGAAGATATCCAAATGGTATATTTAACGTCTGACTTTCATATGTTACAAAGGCATTGGGAAATTTTCAACAGAACACTCATTTGTTTTCCCGTACCTGATTTTTTATTCACTATAATGTGATGTCTTAAACTGAACCGATCGATTCACTTGCTGTTAAGTTGTACTTTGTGTATTGATAAATCTTCTAACTGAACACCTGAATTGAGTTCCTAAGCTCTTCAAATAACCCCCAGGTTAACTCTACACGATAACTTGAACTCGAGAGAAAAGGTGCGAAATATCGAAAGGAAGCTTTACTGCAAGGTTAGCTTATGTATAGAAAATTTATTTATAGCATTTCACATAGCCCTGTGCATCTGAGAGGTTCTGAAACTCTATTAAACATCGTAACAGGGTAGGTAATCATTCAATCGGTAATGTAACACATAAGATTGTTAAGTTTTTGATTAAAAACATGAGCTGATTGATGCTGTACCACCAATGAAAACCCGGAAGCACTGGACGGCCGTTTTGTCCTATTGTGGGGCTCCTCAGCAGTGCGCATCCACCATCCCGCTCGCGGGATTTAATTCCATCATTTATTTACTCTGAAGAAGTGATTTATATTAAGTTACAAAACACTGGAAATACAATTTTTCTACTCATTGGAATATAAAAAAGATCTATCTATTAATGAAATGAAAATCTTTTAAAAGTTAAACTGACAAACCTTCATCTTTATTGACACCCAACATGATACGATGACGTATATTCAATTTGCCTGAACCTAATACTTCATATGGCCATTCAGGTAAAAATGGAGCACTAACTACTGGTTTAAATGGCACATCAAAATAATAACCAGCGGTACTTAAAAGCTGTCAAAGAAATAAAAATGTGAAAATATACATTTGGTATCATGAAAAATAGTTTAGTTGTCAAAACCAAAATTGTCTAAGAAGCATTCAGTCAAATTTTATTATATTCACTTGGTGTTGTTTTACTTGGATCTTCCACTGATGTTTAAGACTGCAATTGATCAGTCTCTTATTGGCAAATGTTTATCTTGTGCATATTGCCTTGATGCTACCTTAAGTCACAAGTTTTTTTAAGCAAAGATAGACTCAGTAGCTAAGTGGATAACGCGATGAAGTTTGAAGAGAACGGTACTGGGTTAAAATCCCGGAGTGAACATCAACTCTGGGATCCAAGTACATTCAGGTGACGAGTCCCAAATAGGATGAAACGTTCATCTTGGATTCTTCTGCTAGCCACTGTCCATCTTCGCTTAAAAACGGTCGATTAGTTGTACAGTAAACCATTATGACACACTGATTCAAACCATTGTCAGACTCTTTCTTACTTTCGTATGTTTGACTGTAATGTCGTTGAAATTACTGGATGTTCATTTCGTCTTAGTATGGGACTCCTCAGCAATACTCATCCACGATCCTGCACGTGGGATTCCACCGGGTTTTAATTGAGATCATGAACTGATCAATATTAGACCAACATTAAAAAACGTAACGACTATTCAGTGCTTCCAGGTGGTCTAACATTCATCGATTGATGATTTCAATCGAAAAAATAAAATACTTTTCTAACTGAACTGAAGTATTATACAACTCAAATATCCAGGCACTTCATACATCTATCCTATACAATCGAACGAACATTATTGCTACTATAGGACGAAACGCACGTCCTAGATTCACCTGTTAGCCACTATCCATCTTTGCTTGATAATATTTATATTTTGGACATTCTATAACTAAACAAAAACAGCAAAGCATATAGCAATTCATACACACATGGTGACTTGCTCTATTTCTGTATAATTTTTTTAATTGATTAGTTCTTGAAGAATTCTCTCCATTACGTAATAAATGCATATGCCATTGATTGATAACTAATGTTTCTGATTCTACACTTCGTAAACATTTAACTAATTCTTTAGAATATTGACCATTTGAATCAGTTACAGCATTACAACCACTTAATTGTGCTAATAAACGTGTCTAAAATTTAAAAAAAGAAACAGAAAACAAAAACATGTTGATGATCATGTTTTGTTAACATCAATTAACATGCATGAAACACAGTACTTTGAATAGGAACCAGAAGTTAATAAAATAAGCGAAACACTATAAAAAAATATACAGTCAATCAGTCAGTAACAACGTCGAACTTCGTACATGCGTAAGTACGTACGTATATCAGTTCGAGTTGGCATACCACATTAGCACAGAGATGCAGTTGTCGATTCAAATCCCGTAATGGTAGGGGTAGTAAGGGTATAAGCAGTAATTGGAAAGATTAGGGTTTGAAGATGTTATTCAAGAAATATGATCCAGTAAAATAAATTTGAAAACAGAAAAAATAAAGGGGCATGAAGAATTCAGAAGATTAGAATTTGAGAGAACAAAGAGAGTGGATGCACCTGTGCCATTGCGAACGATTTTGAGCCATGTCATTCAAAGTCTCTAACCATCGGTTGCTATCATCTCGCAGACCCCAAACAGGCAGTCCACACCTACCAACATGGCTCAGTCCAGTTGTCAGTGACTTCATGGATTTGCGCCATATTTTGGTATGGCCGCCCCTAACTTTCTTCCAATCTACTCCTACACCATAAAACAACGCATGTCGGGGCAGTCGGTGGTTGCGCATACGTAACACGTGTCCCAGCCATCTCAATTGATGTAGTTTCACTACGTCATCAATTGATTTGCCAACCCTAACTAATACCCGTTTCCTAACAACTGCATTACTTACTCGATGGTCCCAGCATATACGAGCAATGTTTCGAAGACACCTATGATCGAATACTGGTAACCTACGAATATCCTCTACTCTTATCAGCCATGTTTCACAGCCACTAAAGTACGACGGAACGGACTGCTGCACAGAAAACACGTCCTTTGGTTGATAGACGGATATCTCGCCTACACCATAAATGACGCAAGTTGGCGAAAGCTAGTCGAGCCTTCTGTATCCGTGCTGAGATTTCGTCACACACCAGGCCACAAGGGCTGATGAGACTTCCAAGATAAGCGAAGTGGTCAACACGCTCAATTACTTCTTTCCCTATCATTAGTTCGAGTGTCGATGCAGCCCGATTCTGAAGCAACATTTTGCATTTGGAGGATGGGGAGAATCGCATGCCGAACATGCTAGCATTATTGCTTAGAGTAGTCAGAAGACTTTGCATTTTGTCAGCGTCTTCACTGAATAGAACTATTTCATCGGCATATTCGAAGTCAACAAGTGAATCTCCTGGTAGAAGTTCAACTCCTGGAAATCTACAACAAATTTATACATCGGTCCACGTTGCCACACCGCATTAGCACAGCAAGACGAACACCGGATTCATAGAAGTAGTTAATTCAATGGTGGTAATATATAAAAGAAAGATTGCGTATAAAGATATAGTACAAGAAGAAATAATTAGTACGTAGAAAGATATGAAGCGATTTTAATCCCGACCGTTGTTGCTACCTTGACGTGGTGGTCGGGCTTGCCTATCTTGATGGAGCAACCAAGCTATATTGGTTGGAACAACCATTCCTCAAGGTTCTACCATCCAAGACAGTTCGGTTGAAGAACGGTGAGACTAAAATCAACAAACTAAAGGTCCAAAGGCCAAGTCGTACTGCTGACTGTACAGAGGTGTGACAGCAGTAAGGTGTTTCCTTCAGACAACCAGCAGAACAGAGATGCTGCCTTCCCACAAGGAGGGATGGGGTTAGAAAAGGTCGACCCTAAAAATGCACACCTCGCCTTATCCCACTGATATCGGTCTCCGGAAGTAAGGTTTCAACAAGTACGGCACTAACACGAAAGTTACTCATAAAAAGTTCGTCTGATACTGAATGGGGCATGTTTTTAGTAAATTTATGAGGAAATAAATATATGTAATTGATTGACAGCGTGGCTTCATTTCTTGAGGGACATTTATCTATATTTATGAATAGGTTGTGTACATATACTCGATTTAGTTTAGCCCATAACATCTTTCTCATTTTCAGTTTACTCATTCAAGCAGCTGGTTGGACTCCTGTATAAGAAGCTAGTATATCATTATCCAACTTTGATGACCGCACAGAGTAACAAGATATTTAATAGTTGAATTCTTGAGTCAATTGAAGCTAGACCACCTGGAAGTACTGGACGGTCGTTTCATTCTAGTATGGGACTCTTCCATGGTAGTACACATCCACGATCCCACTTCACGAGGTTCGAACCCAGGACCAGTGGAGTTCATCCGAGTCTGTTGTGAGATAGCAACTCACTGAAGACAATGGTGGATGGTGGTGCAATCTCGTGGACTTGTTGAATTTAGACATCAATACCGCCAGCCCAGTGGTCTAGAGATTATGTGGGCGAGACTCTTAGTTATAGACGAGCCAATCAGAAACGTCTGAGAGATTTCAAGCTCACGGCGCCAAATTCGGTGCTTAATGCTAACGTACGATCGGCTCACAGGGAATTTTGTACAAAACGTAATAATTGAGCGGTTATAACAAATAAACCGTCGAGACTATAATTTGTGAACGAATCAATCAGTATAAGATAATAGATCTCGGATTTTAACATGAAAGCCTTTCATCCATTTGGCTAAATAAATTTCTTGCATTTTAGCTGATGTCAGTTCGTGATGAAAACCCCATATATAATTCCTAACTAAGGTAAATTACGACAATTATCGAGAACTGGATAATAAAAGCACCAGTTACACTGGCTGCAGCCAGGTACTACAATATATACGGATGTTTGGAGAGCGTACAGACTCATACATAGACTTGGTTATGTGCATCGTGTCGTTATCCACAAGTGGCACTTTGTGCACTCAACAACCGAAGTGCACATAAACAATATTGAAGCTATGTGGTCGAGGTTGAAAGAGATTTTGATACTTTATCATGGCTCCAGAGGCCGACTATTCTGTATCCGTATGGACGATTTCCTCTACTACATGTTTTACGATTTTAGAACCTCTGAACTTCTTTCTAACCTTGACAAGTTTTTGAACCAAGTATAAGAAGTGTATCCACTTTATTTCCTTGGTTTTGTATAACATATTTTTAGTCTATACTGACTGTTTGCTAATTAGCTAATATTTCTCAAGGTCGTTCAAAGGTCGTCCATAAATTAGTCTCGCCATTAAGTGTCCTCACGCGAGACCGCTAGTTCCCGGGTTCAAATCTCATGAAGCGTGATCGTGGATGTGCACTGCTGAGGAGTCTCACTCTAGAATGAAACGGCCATCCAGTGCTTCCAGGTTTTCCATGGTGGTCTAGCTTCAAATGACTCATGAATTTAATTATTAAATTGCTAAAATCTTCACAAAACCCCTTTCTGGTTATAACTGAAAATTTACCAAACACTATGATACTTAAATATTACAAATGATTTACCTTTTCTAAAGCTGTATGCGAACTTTCAACAGCCCACCATGCTAATGGTGAACCACTTTGTAATATTGCTTGTTGAAATAAATGATTAGATATTGGAGAGATTAAATGTAGAGCAACGCAGATAACACCACCGGAATGACCAAAAAGTGTAATTCTAAATTTAGAAATCAGTTAAATAAAATACAAAAATACTTCAAATTATAGGTTTATGTTCATTAATTGGATTATTGTAATAATCTAACAAGAAATCATCCTGTTATAACAGTCAGTGTTTCTTTGACTTTACAAATGGAAACGTTAATTTACTTACCTTAGACGAATATCTACATTAGATTCCCTTCCCTCCAGTATCTATTCTACAGGACTTCAACACAACTCAGATCAAGATCATTCTTACTGGGAAGTAAATGTATATTCCAAAATAAAACCGACAACAATCCGACAACAACTAATAATAATAAGCATAAGAGAATATATAATTCATCTAACGCCTATCAAACTATCCACAAGTCTGACTAAGCAAACAATTAATCATTATCATTCTCGTTCACACACATCACATCTATACTACGATTTTAAATGATCGAATTCAACTAGTCAATAATGAGGAATGTAGAACTTGTAAAATATCTACATCAGTTCAAGTTGCCAAACCAGATTGGTACAACGATATAATAGATCACCAAGATAAATTTGTGGGTAGTAGAAACTAAGACAATATGATTGAAGATAAGTTATGCAATGAAACGTATGAAATAGTTTTAAAACTCAGGATCCAAATAAATACAAATAATATATGCATATATATGGGTCACTTTGACTGATTCCAAATAAAGTCATACAAAGTTTCCAACTATTAATCGTGGTTAAAACATGGACTATAACCAGATAGAAGTCTACATCTACCAACATGACTCAGACCAAGAATTAATGAATTAAAAGGTTGATAACATATTTCTAGCCCACGTGTCTATATCGGCAAAGATTATCTATTAAGCTAGGTAGTGGTTAGTCAACTTAATCGATTAACATTCAATTTATTCCTTATATCTACTTCAGTCAGTCAGCTTTAAAGTAGGATCAGGCATATAAGCATCGGTTCAAGTTGCCACACCTCACTCATTAACACAACAAGATGAACACTGGATTCATAAAAGTAGTTAATTCAATGGTAGTAATATAGAAAAGAAAAATTACATATAAGGATAGAGCATAGGAAGAAAGAATTAGTTCGCAGAAAGAAAGATGTGAAGCGATTTCAGTCTCATAGTTTAAAGGAAGACAGAGTGTATACACCTACGCTATTGTGATCGATTCTGAGCCATGTCACACACAGTCTCCAACCATTGGTTTTGTTAGTCGTGTGGACCTCAATCAAATAGTCTGTATCTATCAATATGGATCAGACTAGAAGTTAATGACTCTGTGGATTGATGCCACGTTTTAGTTTGGCCGCCCCTGACTTCCCTCCAACCATCCACAGCACTAGTCAGTATTGCGCGTCGTGGTAATCGGTATTCAGGTATACGTAACACGTGGCCCAACCATCTCAGTCAATGAAGATTCACAAACTCATCAACTGATTTACCATCGTTCCCTAATACTCTGTGTCTGATCTTACTATTGCTTACCCTGTGATCCAAGCAGATGCGAGCAATATTTTGCAGCTGTAAATTAGAACTGAACAAACTGCTGCTCAGTCTACTCATCCCTTAATTGATAGACGGATATCAAGCCTTCTTTATAGGTGGCGAAACTTGACAAAAGTCAAATGAGCTTTTTGGGGGCTGATCAAACTTCCAAGATAAGTGAAGTTATCGACGCGTTCTACTACTTCACTCCTTATCCTTAGTTCAGGTGTTGACGCAGGCCATATGTATAACTTCAACACATGAGGAAACTGTTCACAGTCTATAACGCAATTCATCAATCAGCTAAAATATTATACGCTTCTATTTGTTTACTATAGACTATCAAAGGAATGTAGAAATCTCTCAGATTTTCTACTTTGTGGAGTATGAGTTACTACGAGATGGATGTATCAACCGATTCACAGGTTTCAGAAAAATTTATCCCAAAAAGTAACCAAGGAAGTTTGTTCTACAGTGAAGTTTTTGTGGTGAGTCCTAACTAGCCAGTGAATGGCAAAAGGCAGTCAACTTAATTAAATGTATGAGACATTAAACAGCATTGTAAATTCTTTTCTACTACTGATTTCTACTCTGAGTTCGCTGTACATGTACTGTTCGCACTGTGAATGGATAAATTCTCGTGCCTCTATAACTTAACCATCAATCGTTGGTAGGAAATCGTTGTCACTTTATAAAGTAGTCTAATCTAGTGGTCTAACTATCTCATATCGAACATTGGGGTCTAACATCCCAAGTCTTATTATTCAGTATGTAAAACTTATTATATTATTTCACGTATTTCGTACCAGTAAGAAAATCCTTTATTATTTTCTTCGTTACAACTAAAGTGGTCCTCAATAAACAACTACATGAACTTTTTACAACTGATTGATCACAATGTCATGTTGTATGGTTCTTATTAGTGCAGATCGAATTCTTTCAATCAAGTTGCAATGTGGCCACTAGTCTAGATGACTTGGCATCGCGTGTATTATGCTGAGATGTAAGATGGCAGTCGCAGATAGTATTTGACCACAGATGCCTTAGAAATATTGCTGGCATCTGCTGGGATCACCGGGTAAGTAATAGTGAGGTTAGACGCAGGGTATTAGGGAATGGTGGTAAATCAGTTGATGAGGTTATGAATCTTCATCGACTGAGATGGTTGGGCCACGTATTACGTATGCCTGAACACCGATTACCACGACGTGCAATGCTAACCGGTGTAGGGGATGGTTGGAAGAAAGTTGGGGGCGGCCAAACCAAAACGTGGCATCAGTGCCTGAAGTCACTAACTTCTATTCTGAGCCATGTTGGTAGATGCAGACTACTTGGTTGGGGTCTGCGTGACTTTCGTAACCAATGGTTGGAGACTCTTGGTGACATGGCTCAGAATCGATCACAATGGCGTCGGTGTATACACTCCCTGTCTTCCATCAAACTAAGAGACTAAAATCACTTCATTCTTTCTTTCTACGAACTAATTCTTTCTTCCTATACTATATCCTTATTGCAACCTTTGACCTAACCACTCCTATGAATCCGGTGTTCATCTTGCTGTGCTAATGAGGTATGGCAACCTGGACCGATGCACATATGTGCCTGGTCCTACGTTGTAGCTGACTGACTGACTGCAGATAGTCGGCAGGAAACTCCAGATTCAGGCTACCTAATGTTTAACATTCACCAGAAAGGTATACCCCTAATCTTGAAGGAAATGATTCTCGCTGGTGGATTTGCTCCCGTGTCACCCAGCCTCACAGTAAGAAGCATTACTACTGAGCTATCCAGACCACCAGGTTAATGGTACACCTGGTCGATGAGTGCCGAATAGCACAAAACCTAAGTCCAGGGTTTCTTTTTGACTACCTCCAACCATCACCTTACCAAATGGACCTGTAAAAACTCACCAATAAAACTAGTAGGCTTCTTATAAAATGTTTGGATTATTCCAAGTAATGGAATCCGGGACAGGCATTTCGGTTTGTTTAAAACTCTACCCAAAACTACCGATATTCCTGTTGATGTTTTGAGCGCGACTCAAATCTATTTCCTTTCAATTCAAACGCCTACATGATTATCCATTTCAATTGTGAGTCCAGACACTTACATAATTTTGAAACGGGTCTTATATTTACATAATTATTAGAGAGGACTTGAATTATATTGTTGTTAATCAATCTATTTTGGGATATGTCCGTCTTCTGGTAATTGCCTCGATACAAGTTTCTTTAGATCCAGTCTACCTATTCTGTAAACGATGTAAATATATCGACAACGACTGATCAAATTTCAGTCAATAATGTTGACATTGGGATAATTTGAATCGTCTCTAATAGTTATATGAATATCATACCCGTTTCATAATTGAATGATTATCAAAACTCAGTAGTGCTATGGATAATGATATGAGTGTTTAAAGTGAAAGCTACTAGATTTGAGTCAAGCTGAAAACATCAACACAAATATAAATAGCTTCAAGTGATGAGTCTTAAAAAGGACGAAACGTGTATCGTGGATGCTATTGCTAGCGGCAATCTTCACACTTTAAAAAAAATACCTACTACTTTAGTAGTATGGTTATAAGAAATGAAAAATTGAGACAATTAAAAGACAATATAATAAAACTATAATTTACTGTTGTGGATTTCCTCCAAAATAAGCTATATTTTCACGAACCCATTGTAATCCAGCTACTTGATCCATTAAACCTTGATTTCCAGGTATTTCATCATTACCTAGATAGAGAAAACCTAATGGTCCTAACCGATATTGTATACTGACGACAACAACATTCATCTGTAAGAAACGAAAGAAAACAAACAAACAAAGAATAACATGAGTTTTTGGAAAAATAAGTCGAATCGAAATGTTGGAGATTTGTAGCTCAGGTGGATGATTTTGGTGGAGTTTTGTTCTCTGATCTGGATGGTATAGTCGTGGAGATTTCATCGTTCTTATGAACGACATCATCAGAACTAAATGAAGTCGAATCGAAAGACTTATAAGCACATTTTACTCCAATTGAACTGGATTCCTAGTTAATTCAGTATATTCCTGAGAATAATTAAACTGAATAGATAAATTCACTTGATAACCTGATATTAAAAGTTGGATATGAAATTGTTTTTCTTTTGAGAAATAGATGTATGTTATACAAAACTGATTTGATGGACCATGAGTAGGATGTACAGAGGTTAATGTGTAAATGAGGAGTGGCAGCAAAATCAGATTCAAAGCCTCCACGTAACACCACTGGGTAGAAAAGGAAAACTTGCTAGCTAATTTGAGGATTCAGTAGAGTTCGGAATAATTCACCACTCTTCTGTTAACTGGATTATTTGTAGTTTCCAAACTCCAGCTCACTAGATCTTGAGGGTTTCCCGATGTGCAAGTTTATGTATATTGAATTGCACGCATCTCTGTTTGTATAGTTGTGTATATAAGTATATTCAAAAGGTATTCACCTGATTTGCTAAACGAACATTTGCTGAAATGTCTGTCCTATATTTAATAAAATCAGCGGTCTAAACTAACTGTTAGAAGACATAAGAAAAAGATGCGGTAACAAATACGTAGGTGACCATCAACCTCTCTCTGAGAGTGCTCATACCTATGTGTATGTAACGAGGTGTATAGAAGAAATTTTTTGTACCAGTGATATGCATGTAATGCGTAAAGAACAGACAGTTGTAATGAATACGTTCGAAGGGGGCAGTGATCATCTACTCATATATGTATGGTATGGGATGTATGAGTGAAAACTTATGGGTTGTCGGTGTGCATGTAACGTATACTTGCCCTTGGTACAACGCCCATGTGCCAAAACTCTGGTGTTTCATCGATTTACCCATACAACCACAACCAAGTGATGGGATTTGTGGACCTTGAATACACTGAAACCAATTCCATAAAAGCCATACTGGCTTCACCAGATAAGGCTTTACTAACCACAAATGGTTGGAACACCACTATAAGTAGTCTATGTATTGATGTAATGATCAGTCTTTGTACTGAATAGATTGACTTGCAAGTTAAATCGATGATTTATTTGAATCGATTTGTTAGGAAAGTTGATTTGTTGAGCAGGTTAGTTTGTTAGTCAACCGTCGAATGAACGGTCATCTTAGTACAATAAATGGATGAACAAGGATAGATACACAGATTTACATCTCAATAAAAAGTGTACATGGATAAAAGTTAACAATCGATCATATGAAATTAACTAATGATAGTGATAATGATATATGTAGCTTATACGGCTTCTTTACTTAGACAATATGATTATTATACTGAAGAGGATCAAACCAGTTTATTGGATGAAACATAAGATTGTTTCAAACTTAATTTTTTACATTTAACAATGATTTGTGTAGCGGTTTATAGTATAATGATGTTAAACTCTATTTATTTACTTATTTGAACACATAAACATTGATACAAGGAGGCAACAAATGTATATGTGTCACACTTGGTGACCCGATTTGTTTAGGGTTTGAGATAGTTCCCGAGTGCCCAAACCGAAGCGAGTGGTTTTCTTAGTGAGCCACTCCCAAGCCTTTGACTTAGGGGTTTAATTCACAAGGAAGTAGATTGACGTCATGAGATACGGTCACGATAGGTTTACACACTATTTTTTCCCTCAGGATTCTGAAGCTCATGTGCACCAATGGTTGAGAGTCAGACTCTTCCAACTCTTCTAGGTAGACCCTCTATATCCACCACCCGGTTAATCAGCCGGACATTCGCTTTTCATTCTCTCATTTTCGCAAACAACACCATCACTGCATGAAGATAGTGAATAGGACTTCCTTGTCAGTGGCCGTATACGCTAAACCCTACTATTTTTGAATTCCGTATTTTATTGTACTCTGTTTTATGCTATGCATTTAAAAAAAACTAGATTAAATCTTAACGGCAGACCGCATCATATTACAGATTAATTTAATGAGACCATTTCAAATACAAGTCGAATTATTGAATGCAGTAAGAAAGTTAGAAGTTTGTCAAAATAAATTCACAAATCAATGTCTGAATATAGTTTTTGGGGTACTTTGAGATTAACTCACTTGATTCTATTACCTTAGTCAACAGTACTCATTCACACTGTTGTGGGTTGTGATTGGTTAGTAAGTGGAAACAGACTGAACTACTCTATAATTACATTATACATTTTAATTTATTTCTTATAACTATGATTGCCCTGTGGATTCTACACTGTGTGTATATGTGTGCAACTGCTAGCTTTTGTGTTAAATAAGCTACTGTCTGATCTATAATCTCGTTCTACATTATTGGTCGTAATTCATGTATATATGTATAATGTGATCTAATTAATGAGTCCTAAATAGGACGAAACACCGCTTCTGAATCTCACTACTGATCACGATTAAAATTTACTAAAATATCTGAATATAGTTTTTCTTACAAAGTGAATTGTTATATAGGATAAGGTTAAAGTTTTGGGATTATTCTGTAAGGAATTATTATGTATATTTTTATTGTGGAACTATTGAAGATCTGATTTATAGGATTATTATAATTATAAGCCTTCATTGAATTTATTTACTATCCATATGTATCTTATCATTAAAGAATGAACAGTCAGTCAGCTTCAACGCAGAATCAGACACATATAAGCATCGGTCCAACTTGCCATACTTCATTAGCATAACAAGATGAACACCAAATTAATACAAGTAGTTACTTTAATAGTAGTAATATATAAAAGAAAGATTACATATAAGGATATAGTATAGGAAGAAAGAATTAGTTGGTAGAAAGAAAGATATGAAGCGATTTCAGTCTCATAGTTTAAGGGGAGACAGAGAGTGTATACATCTACACCATCATAATCGATTCTGAGCCATGTCACACACAGTCTCCAACCATTGATTATGTTAGTCGTGTGGACCCCGATCAAATAGTCTGTATCTTTCAATATGGATCAGACTAGAAGTTAGTGACTTCAAGAACTGATGCAACGTTTTGGTTTGGCCACCCCTAACTTTCCTCTAACCATCCCCAACACTAGTCAGTATTACGCGTCGTGGTAATCGGTGTTCAGGTATACGTAACACGTGGCCCAACCATCTCAGTCGACGAAGATTCACAACCTCATAAACTGTCTCACCATCATTCCCTAATACTCCGCATCTTACGTCAATTATTTATCTACTTATTGCTTCTTTCTGTATCACTTATGAATTTAGTTGTGTACAAATGATGATTTCTTTATTGTTATGGCATGTTGTACTCATATCATCAGTGTATACATTCCTTTGAGTTCTTGAATTATGATCAATAGAAGTGAACAGAGTAATTCAGTTTACATAAATAAGAACATTTGTTTAAATTTGATTGAATTTTTACATAGTATTTAGGCACCGAGTTGATGTGAGACATTAAAGGGGAAGTATGTATTTGTAAAATCTCAGCGAATGAATTTGAAGCAAATCCAATGTTTTGCTTTTTCAAGGAAATAAAATGAAAACATCAAAATTATCAACTATAAATAGGTACATAGTTCTGCGGTTCACTGTATACTGAATAGGTCATCACCATTGAATCAACTACTTCTACGAATCCGGTGTTCATTTTGCTGTGCTAATGAGGTATGGCAACTTGGACCGATGTATGATCTTACGTTATAGCTGACCGACTGAATAGGTCATCCAATCAACGTTAACAATGTTTAAAGTAGATATTTGCATTACACACTAATTCAGTGAACTAGACAACCATGTACTTATATTAGTGGAGTTTTGTTCTCTGAGCTGGATGATTTGATCGTGAAGCTTTCATCATTCTTCTAAGCAAGATCATCCACATACTTCCACTTTAATTCAATTTACAATTTGATGTATTATTATTTAATCATTGAAATAAATGAATTTAACATTGATCAATATAGAATATAAGATTTTCTAATGATCATTTCACGGTCATTATGATATTAGATAAAAGAGAAGTTTAATAGTCAGTAAAGCATAAATTGTACGTGTTATTTATGAACTTTATAATCAAATGATTCGATCATGTGGAATAAAAACAAAAATGGTTCTTTCTTAACTCATAAAATGAATATCAGATGGGTTTTGTGGATATTCTAGTAATTTCAATGGTTAAGATCATGAGTCAATTGAAGCTAGACCACCATAGATAACCTGGAAGCATTGGACGGCCGTTTCGTCCTATTGTGGGACTCCACTGTGGCAGTGCGCATCCATGAGCTCGCCCCCTGCGAGATCCGAACTCAGGACCTACTGGTTCCGCGCGAGCACTTAACCATTAGACCACTGAGCCAGTAGGCATCCAACGGTGTTAATGTCTAACTAATCCTCGAAATCAAGTGACACATCCTCCATTGTCTTCAGTGAGTTACTATCTCACAACAGACCTGGTTGAACTACACTGGTCACTACTTCTCATAAAATGAAGTAAACTAAAGATAATTATAACAAATGAAGAGATTAACAATAATCACTTATCCTTGATATATATATATATGTATAATGGTATATGAATGATACGAAGTTTTGAAAGTTAACTAGTTGCATTGAATATGATAGTATACAATTTCTGAATTGAATCCTAAAAGTTAAGATTTTTAATTCAAGTCAAATTGAAACTAATTATAACGGTTATTTAATGTGTTGGGGATATTAGATCCTCAGAATTCATTTGGTAAATACCTTAATTTTGTAGTTTTCTTTTGAAAATTAGAATTTCTTTTTTTTCGCACTAAAAGCGCTCTTTTCACTTTTATGTAGTATTTCCCACTTGGGAGAATCTTTAACGCTATTCGTCCGTTGTATATTTTAGTAACGCTTCCCAAGGACAGTTTTATGCTGTATATATACGTTTGATTTGTGTCTGTTATTATTCACTCGTGCTTCTGGATTTTTACGAAATATACTTCATCGTTAGAACTTCAACTTCTTTCTCTAGTTAGAATAGCCTATCGTGTCACTGTATATTGATATTCGTTCCGTTTATCGAGTAAGGTGAACTCGTAATAGCATTCAAGCATATCACAATGTCAACACCTAGATTTTTTAGAGTTGATCTCAAATACAAGTTATAGATGTTTTCTTTTACAGACAATTATTGAAACAGTGCTTGAAATCACTGACTTCTAGTTTGAGCCATGATGATAGATACAGACTATTTGATTGGGGTCCACACGACTAACATAACCAATGGTTGCAGTCTTTGGGTGACGTGGCTCACAACCGATCACAATGGTGTAGGCGTATACACTCTCTGTCTTCCCTTAAACCATGAGATGAAAATCGCTTCATATCTTTCTTTCTACGAACTAATTCTTTCTTTCGGTATTATGTCCTTATATATAATCTTTCTTTCATATATAACCACCACTGAATTAAATACTTGCATTAATTTGGTATTCATCTTGTTGTGTTAATTATTTATGGTAACTGGGACCGACGCTCATGCGTACCTGGCCTTACGTTGTAGTTGACTGACTGACTGTCTAATATAACAGTTCACCATTAAAAAGTCTCCTTAAATTGTAAATTATTAAATAAAGTTGTGGTGTATAGAGATTTTCAAAACCATGTAACAGACTACTCGAAGATTTAAGTAATCTAGATTAAATTACTCTTTACTATTGATTGAAATCATGAGTCATTAAAGCTAGACCACCATAGATAACCTGAAAGCACTGGACAGCCATTTCGTCCTAGTATGGGACTCCTTAGCATTGCACGTCCACGACCCCGCAAAAACTTAACAAGCTCCACAACACCTAAACTGATAATTACCATGTGCTCACTAGTGACTAGCTTTGTGAGAAAGTTCTCGGAGTTCTGGTGAGAAGCCGTGACCAGTGGAGCTAATCCGTTTTGGGTAGAAACAGGTGTCTACCTCAGTACAATGGAAGATGGTCGCGCAATTTCATGGATTGGTTGAGGTTAGACATTAACGCCGTTGGATGCCGGCTCAGTGGTCTAGTTGGTTAAGCACCTGGTGCGAGACTGATAGGTCTTGGATTCGAGTCTCATGGGCTGCGGGCCGTGGATGTGCCCTGTTGAGGAGTCCCATACTAAGACGAAACGGCCGTCCAGTGCTTTCAGGTTATCTATGGTGGTCTAGCTTCAATTGACTCATGATTTCAATCAAAAACTTAACAATCTCCACAACACCTAAACTGATCTTTAGTGTTGGTCGGGCAAAAGTATACTTTATAGGAGAACTAATTAGACCTAAGGCTGAGTCCTTTAAGTCTACGTTCAAAATTTAAAGCTCAGCGGTGGATAATTTGTATCCTTTTAGAAACTAGATAAAAATAAAGCCTATATTTGGTTACTCGATGTTTAAATTCGATGAAAATATATTTTTGTTGTTGTTGCAATTAGATAGTGAATGTAACATATTGTGTAAGCTAAACTGATGTCTGATTGTATCTAAGAATACTTGATGTAATTCAATACATAGTCAAGGATAAAGAATTATTATTAGTGTATGAACCAAGAGGATTTCAGGTAGTGCTTCTTAGATTTTGGTGCAAAATTCATTCATCCATTTGGATTAATATCGTTCTGATATTAGAGCTGATGTCAGTTTATGATGAAAACCCTAATTCTTTTATTTCTAACCCTAAATCCTAATTCTTATTTGTCATACTAATTTATAATCTTATTTTGAATCTAATGGTCGGTTGAAACCTTCCATGGTTACTTAAGTATCATTCAAAGATTGTCGCTTAAATTATAGTTTCGCCTCTTAATACTATTAACCTTAACCTTTGAAACCTTAACTCATAACTCTAGCCACACTCTTAATTCCTTTCTTGCTTTCCAATTTATTATTTTTTATCACAAATTATTGAATGACTAGACAATGATATTTGATTGGTTACTAAGTCCCTTCGGATCGTCAGTAGAGTATAAATTTATTGGTAATAAACTTGGCACTGATTAACGTACCATCACAAAAACTCGAGTTATTTTTAATTAAAAATACAGGTAAAATCATGTAAACACACACACATACACATAAGCATCATCAATCATTCAGGATACACAGAAATAAAACACCGTACAATTTCATTAGTATTGATTGCTTGGATCTTACCATTGAACAAGACAGTTGTTATTTGAACTCAATAGCTAGGTGGATAACACTCTGTGTGTCTAAAGCAAACGCTACTGGGTTTAAATTTCGGAGTAAACATATACTCCGGGATGCATATACATCCAGCTGATGAGTTTTAGATAGGACGAAACAAGTGTTTTTAATTCCAATTTTAGCCACTAACCATATCTGATTAACATACAATTTCGTTGACTTACTTTTCCTGCTAAATAAGCTCCATTATACATTTCAATTGATGAAGAGCCTCGAATTAAACTTCCACCATGTATCCATACCATAACAGGTCGACCACCTTTAGGACCAAATATAGCGCTACTTTCAAGCATCATATGTTTTCGATCACCAATATCATGTGAATAATTATTATTTGCTCTTGTCCATATATTTAAATAGAGGCAATCTTCACTCATTTTTGTAGTATTCAACCATACACGTGTAGTAGCATCGAGAAATTCCTCTGAAATGTAATAAAACTTTCATGAAATGGAATAAATTTACAATATGGCTATCATGATCAGAAATCGATAAAGTGAACTTGAGTATGATTTCTTAATTAATTAAACAATAATTCACCATAGTTACAAATGATCATAGACTGTTGACTGATTTATTTCGTTAGCTAATTTCAAAAATACCTTTGGTAACGAATTGAAAAATAAATAGATTTCATAAACATTTACTTATTCATTTATTTCAATATAAGACGTTGATGATAACACTATTTATTTGTTCGGATTTCAGTAGTATACCAGACTAAAACGGGATGTAAGATACTGAAGATGAGATTATAATTTATAGATGAACCGATCAGATATAGGATGACAGATCTTGGATTTTGACGCGAAATTCGTCCATCTATTTAGCTAAATAAACTTAACCATCAACTGTAAATCATAATTCTAATTCTTCACACTGCTTTATGACCCTCATTAAGTCCTAGTTAGTAGATGGACATTCTCAAGGTTACTTCAGCGTCGCTCAAAGGTCGTCCATAAATTATAGTCTCAGCGTAATGACATAAGTAAACAATCATTTTAAGAAAGGTTTTCATTTATAGTTATCTAAATAATCCTAACTTATAAGTTGTACAGTGATAACGAATGCTAACCTGCATAGAACAAAACAAAAGTTATGAATCATTACTCAAACTTGGATTTTCTTGGTAGTTATTTGTTGTCCTTCAATGAAATGCTGTAATGCCTACCACGGACACTTAACTAAACAGTGAAATTATAAACTAGAATTAGGAGATTCTCTAGAACACTTCAGGATCTTAATAGTGTTCAAATAACTTCACAAGCAATGATGCAGCATCCGCATTTCGCGTAAAATAAATTAATTATCTTTTTTCTTTTTCTTACCCATATCATAGCCCTGGGTTAAAACTGGTTGATAGATTTACAAAATGCATTTAAGGTCACCGTATAAGCACAGATGGGTTAACTTCATTTTTACAGGAATTCTTACCACTGAATATAGGGTATTATGAGGATTGTTAGATTTGATATTTGACATCACGAGTCGATCATACATGAACCAGGATATATGTTTTGTCTTGGGACAAGACTCCTCAAAAGTTGCCATCTACGACCTCACCTCGGGTCGAACCCTAGACACTTCAGGTCACGTAAGGATTGCATAACTCTTCAATCACCAAGCTAGAATCCAAAAGTTTTCATATCTTTAACCAATCCGCAATAATGTGCAACTATTTTCTATCGCAATTGGTGATATTTACTAAATGAACAAATCGGATACTATCAGTATAGTGCTGTAAAAATTATTAAGTTTTTGATTGAGACCATCAACCAATTGATGTAAGACCACCACTGAAAACCTGGGAGCACTGGACAGTCGTTTCACCCAGTTGTGGAACTCCTCAGCAGTGCGTATCCGCAATCCTGCTTACGGGATTCGAACCCAGGGCCTTCAACCTCGCAAGCGGACGCTTGGCCTCTAGAGGTTACTGACTCAAAAGTTTTAAGGCTAAGCGCTATCGTAAGATGTGAAGTTTTTAAGTTCTGTCCTTGGTGAAATCCTAAGTATGAACTGTTAATGAGTCTCATATTAGGACAAAACAATGGTTCATTTCTCCCTAGCTTTCACAGATTGTCTAAGTTCAATCCATGGTGTGAACATTGAAATTCTTAAAATAATCTGATCAATTTATAAGATCCTACCCCATCCCCGTTAACCTGAATTTATAATTTTATAATAACTCACATTTTAACCCTGTTAGGTTACAATTAACCAGCTGACTTATTCCTATAAAAAACCACTGGAGAAAACATATTCTAAACTTTAATCATCTTGTTAACTTACAAGACATCTCAAAAACTTAATCGATAAACATTTATCCATTTAAACTAAAGAAACTTCATTTAAGTAGTTTAAAGAGTAGATCGAAAGTTTCTATGGATAAAATTAAATATGTGAAGCGCTCGCGTGCGAAACTGATAAGTCCTGAGTTCAAATCTCGTGAAGCGGGATTCCCACAATTGGACAAAATGACTGTCCAGTGCTTCCAGGTTTTCCATGATGGTCTAGCTTCAATGGGATCATGATTTCTAAAAAAATCCCCACAAAACCCCTTTTGATAATGTACAATATATTTCTTTCTTTCACTTTTATATTTGCTCATTTATGTATTGACATCTCTGATTGGTGCATTCACTGATGAATATCTAAATAAAATATTAATGTGATTGGTCAATTCACATTTGGATATATTTATGGATATACACACATTATATATAAATGTATTATATCGATTTAATTGTGTGTTTGTTTGTATGTAAGTAGAAAGGATGCAAAGCAGTATATTTTATAATAAAAGGTTAATCTCAATAGTTGAGATCATGGGTCAATTGAAGTTAGATCATCATTGAAAACCTGGAAGCAATGGACAGCCGTTTTGTCCTATTATAGGAATCCTCTATGGTAGTGCACATCCACGATCTCGCTTCACGAGATTTGAATCCAGAATCTATCAGTTTCGCAAGTGAATGCTTAACCTCTAAACCACTGAGCCAATTGGCATCCAACGGTGTTAATGTCTAACTTCAATAGACTCGGTTGATATATCTTTTTTGTTATATCTTAATCAGTAGAATAATTGTATTTCTGATGTTTCAAAACTTAATATAAGCCATTTTCTTCAGAGTAAATAAATAACCGATATTAAATTAAAACAAGTTTAAACTTATGTGAAGAAATGATTTTATAGAAAGTCAAGAAACATCAGAAATACAATTTTCCTACTTATTGAGATATAACTCTCTACTTTTTACATCCCCACAAGAATAATGAATGGTAACTGTTGGGATCTATTTATGGATCAATACGATACATATATTCTTATTGTATTATTATTAAGTAGCTAAACTATGCGTATTCATATTCCTTTTTTGACCCATCAACTATTATTATACGATTTACCGTTCTTGAGTTCTACCCAGTCTATGAATTACAGTCTCCCACATTCACATCCACTTTTAGCTAGATCATATACAAATGTTATTTTCTATTTTATAGTACCATGTGATCTGTTTGCTTGGTATATAAACCCAGCATGTTTGAAATAAATGATTCATATCTCAGTGGCTGATATTGTTGTTCTGGACTAAATGCCCTGATACGGCCGAGAATGGGAAGAGTCCGCTCTCCCTCTCGAAATACTCTTACACGGCCACGCGTATATAGGCTCTGCCAGGGAAGTTCTACTCACTGCCTTCTCTCATCACGGGGGTGTTGTTTATGAAAATGAGAGGACGAAAAGCGAATGTCCGGTGCTTTAACTGGATTCCAAACCAATGGTGCACATGGGCTCCAGTATCCTGCGGAAACAAATGGCGTATGAAACAATTGTTGGTCACCGGCTTCCATTGGACTGCATCTCCTTACGATGCTCCACTGCCTTGTGGATCAGACCTTCAGGTCGAAGGCTCGGGGAGTGACCCCTTAAGAAAACCACCTGGTTCGGTTTGGGCACCCAGGCAGTCTCACAGCCCTCACACATATCGAATGAGATTTGTGTGGCGCATATGTATTTGGTGCCTCTTTGTACCATTATCTATGTGTTGAAATAAATAAATAAGGCAGGACTAGGTATGAAGAAGGACTGATAAATTCTCTAGACTGCTCATACGGGTTTTATGTGTCACTGATCTGGTCGATAAATCACTGTTCTCTAATTGACGGTATCATTACGTTATATATTAATAGGGCACAAGGCCACAGAATATAACAATACTAACCTTTCAATACCTAGCCATTAAGACGGAATTTAGCAAGGATTGATATGCTCTGTTGAAAGAATCCTGATAGTTGTTTCTAACAAACAAGATTAACAGGTTGATAGCTTAATCACTAACTGTGGAAATAGAAAGGATTTCGAATAACCGCCAAAGCGTTTCTGTGACAGTGGATGAAAGTGATAACTCAGCTCTTATTTCTAATACCCCATTACTACTGATTGTTATGGATTGCAATATCGCTGATGGGTGTTCTCGAGATGATGGAAACCAATGGATTGTTTAGCTAATACACAGATCATGTGATGTTATTCTCTTTAAAATGTTAATTTTAAAAATATATATATCTTGATCGATAGGATCCTGATCCTGTAGATCAATATGAGAACAGCTTATAATCTAACAAACACTAATATCCAGTACAAAATGTTATTATATCTACATAGTAGACTGGTGAATAGTACTCTAAATTCCAAAGTTTGTCATTTATTTTCATCATCAATGAAATATCAATTAGACCATTGAGCCGGCGGTGTTAATGTCTAACTTCAACCAATCTACAAAGTTGCGCCACCGTACACCATTGTCTTCAGTGAGTTCCTATCTCACAACAGACCTGGTTGAACTCCACTGGTAACGACTTCTCACTAGACAATGGCGTACGGTGGCGCAGCTTCATGGATTGGTTGAAGTTAGACATTAACACCATCGGATGCCGGCCGGCTTAGTAGTCTAGCTGGTTAAGCGCCTGGCGCGAGACTGACAGGTCCTCGGTCCGAATCTCGCGGGGTGCGGGATCGTGGATGCGCACTGCTGAGGATTCCCATACTAGGACGAAACGGCCGTCCAATGGTTCCAGGTTATCTATGGTAGTCTAGCTTCAATTGACTCATGGTTTCAACTATTAAAATTACTAAAATCTCCACAAAACCCATTCTGAAATGTCAATTAATAAACACTGGCTTTCTTTATAAGATTATGAGGAAATGAATATTCTGTTAAGTTATAATTAGTAAAATTGAAATATAACTAAGGTAATTGTAAGATTTGAATTAAGAAAGCTTTTATGACACTGATTTTCTTGAATCTTGAATTATTCATTGTCCATGAATGAATGAATGTTCCATCTATGTATTGAACTAATATATTACATAAGTCTGATGATTTTCATCTTCTTATTAAATTAAATATCATATCCATTTTT